GGAGGGATGGTTTGTCTCTAGGCTTATCCAGATGACAGCAGGGCTGCAGTGGTGGCACAGTCAATCTGCAAGCCTTCCTTCTCCTGCAGTGCCATGGGTGATCTTTGGCTCAGGGAGGCTCCAGTAGCCTGCAGCTGATGTCAAGGCAGTGAACAAATCCCTCCAGTAAGGAGCCCTGAGACATCCCTTCTCCACCAAAGCTGCAGCTGCCATGGTTGTAGGCACTATCCTTCTTTCCTCCCCTGGCCCCGTGCAGGAGGAAGGGGAGCAGGAATATGCTGGAGCTCGCACCGCTAAGTGCAAGCTGTCAGGAGTCTCCCAGGGGGATTTTCCTTGGCTCTAGTTTGCACCTAACAAATGTTCTCCCCTGGGCTATGCCGTGGGTGTGCTGCTGCTGGAGCAGCTCTAAACGTGTGCAAACCACATGGATTGATTTGGGGTGGGGGGAGATGCCTTTTTCCTCCCGTCTCCTGCTTTTATGGGGTTTCTGAGGCTTTATGGCTCCCCAGGTGTGGGGAACAGGAGTGCTGGCTTTCAGCAGGGGGTTGGGAATGCTGGCAGCTGCTCTTCTGCCTGTGGCACCCATCCTGCTCAGCCCTGGAGCTTGTGCTGGTGGAGCCCAGGGCAGCAAAAACAGTTTAGTCTTTGTGCTGCACTTCATTAATGCAACAGTTTAATTGCTTCTGGGGGAGGAAAATATGGAAAAGTACTCAGCCGTGTCTTCTGTCAGGGAGGAGGGCAGAGGTTTGACTCCAGCCTGTGGCATCCCTGCAGTGGGGTTTTGGTGTCTGGGAGCCAGCAGCACTAATGTTGTGTCTGTTCCTTCTCCAGGCGTGCTGGCCATCCTCATCCCGCGCCTGGACATCGTCATCTCCCTGGTGGGCTCCGTCAGCAGCAGCGCCCTGGCTCTCATCTTCCCCCCACTGCTGGAGATTGCCACCTACTATTCTGAAGGCATCCACCCCCTCGTCATCGCCAAGGACATCGCCATCAGCCTCTTTGGCTTCGTGGGTTTTGTGGTGGGGACGTACGAGGCGCTGGTGGAGCTGGCGGCGCCCGCCACCACCGTCGTCAATGCCACCAGTGTCATGGTGCAGTGACGGCCCCCCCGCCCCTGATGCCATGCTGGGGGTGCACAGGCACCGGGCACTGCTCTCCTGGGAATGGCCTCCCCTCCCCTGTCCTCTCGGGAAGTGTGGTGGGTTTGATCCATGAGAGGACGGGGCTCCCCACCGTCACAGCCACCCAGCTGCAGCAGGGTCCCACACTGGGATGTATCTGGAAAGTGGGATCCAGGCTGGGGTGGTGTCTTCCCTGGAGGCTCCTTGGGCAGCTGGTCCAGCAAAACAACCCCTTGGCACCTGTGTAAATAGTCACTTTGGGAGGTGAGGAATCCCAGGGATGTAGATTTTATTTTATTTTATTTTTTTAAATCTCAAACTTTCCATATTTCCCCCACTCCTCAGTCAGGGTGGGGAACAGGGACTGCTCTTTTTTTGTGCCAGTTTGTTGTTTTTTATTTTTTTTTCCCCTGAGCACTTTATTTTTACAGCAACAGACAAACCTCAGCTCAGGTTAGTGAGTGTGGAGCTGTCTCCTCACCCTTGTGGGGAGGGCGGGCAGAGCCGGAGGTGGGGAGCATCCCAGGGCCCACAGCTCTCCTGCTGTGGGATCCCCAGTCGTGGGCATTGGCTCCTGTTGTGCTCCAACTCTGTTTCCAGCTGCTTGAGCAGGAAGGCTGAGCAGGGCCTGGGCCACGCTTTCAGTAGTGACACTTCTTTATCCCCATCCAGCACACAACCTAATGCTTGGCTTTTGGAAACGTTAGAGAACTGAGGCGTGCAGAGAGCAAACAGGCTGTGCCATAATGAGGGGCTGAGCTGGTCACCTTTGGCTGGGAGCCCTTTCCCTGTGTGGGATGGGGTGTCCCTGGGGGTCACCACATGCTGCCTGCACGCCACAAAAATACATCACCTTGTTTACAGTGCCTGAGCTGGCCCTGGCACGCTCTGGCTGTGTCTGCAGGCCAACACTGAATGTCAATCACACACAAAACCTCCATAATATTTCTTTTTTTAACCCTTTCTCTCCTGGTCCTACTCCTGCATCCTCTGCCTCCGCTCAGCTCCTCTCCTCCTGTAGGATGCAGCTCTCTCTCCCTGCACTCCTGTTGCTCCTTGCATTGTGGCTGGTGCATGCCTGGCAGAGACAGTCCTTGCCATGCTGCTGCTTTCCTTCCTCTGTGAGCCCAGCTTCCTCCCTACACAGTTTCTTTGCCTTTCTGCTGGATTTCTATTTTTTTTAAGACAAAGGGATAAAATGCATCCTCCATGGAATGGGCCGAACTCCTCCCTGCTAAAGCAGCATCTCCCCAACACCAGCAGCGCCGTGGCTTGCTTTGGAGAGCCTTTATCCTGCATCCCACTGCAGCCCTGTCTGCCTGGGTGTGGGCAAAGGCTGCTGGTGGTGGTGGGAAAGGCGAGTGGGTACAGCAGCAATGGGCTGTGTTCCTGTCTTTGGTGGAGGATGAGTGAGGCTTGGGGTTATTTTTGGTGTTTGATCTGCTTCTGGGAGGAGAAGGCTGTGCAGAGTGGTGTCCCTGCAGCCTGTCTCCTCCACGTGTACTGTTTATGTCTTGCACTGTGTTCCCTGTGCTGGCTCTGTTCTGGGTGCCCCATGCTGGTGTGTGGACCCATGGCCAGGTGTGGGTGGGTCTGTGCCACATCACTGCTCCTTTCCAGCCCCTCACCTGCTTTCTGCTTCTCTTGGGACTCACCTTGTCTCCTCCAAATCTGTGCTGGGGAAGGTTTTGGCATGACCAGCATCGCTTGGTCAGGAGCAAAGCAAAGCTTTAATTCAAATCCTTCCTCTGGAGGGCACCATGGGGATAGAGAGGAAGCACCCAGGTCTGGAAAGGGGCTCCAGGGAACACACAGGTGGGAGAAGTGCAATATTCATGTCTGTCGCTGTGTACCAACCCCGGCGTGGCCCTTGGGGGTTGGGTTTGAGTAAAAAATGTCACCCTTGGCATAGGAGGGAGGGCTGTGAGGAGCAGGCAGTGTCTGATGCTTCCCCCTCCCCTGCCAGTAGTATCCCATAAGGAGGCTGGCCACACTTTTGGGGACAGCTGTGCGCCAGGGCATGTCCCCAGCCTGGGACTGGGCATCAGTGGGTTTGCTGGTGGGGCATCCAAACTCACTTTGGAAGTGCAGTGAAGACCTAATTTCCGAGGAGACTGAGATATCACAGAAGCATTAAATAGTTTTTGCTGCTCTTCACTATTATGGGGGTGATCAGGGCTGTTTGAAGATGGGGCCAGATGTGGCAGTGGGGCACATGGCATGAGGGGCTCTGCTGAGCCAGGAGGGGCTGACACAGGACCCGATGGACATGAAAACTTGACACTTGTGTATCGTAGGCTGCTCAGTAACCAAGAAAATTGTCTGTGTAAATATAGCAATGGTCATGTCCATGTCTCGTGCCTATGGATATTGTCAGCGTGTGTAGCTGCCCAGTGGGAGAGCTGGTGCTGCACCTGAATCATGTATCTTACTTTAATCAATAAATATGATCTATTTTTTATGTGTAAAGGCTTTGGGGTATGAAAATGGGGGTTTCTCTTCCAAAAGGCATCCATGTGAGAGCAGGGCACATGGAGCCCAGCAGCCAGCCAGGATCACACCCTGTGCTGTGCCCACCCCCACAGCAGCACACATGACTTCTCCTGAGGGTTTCAAATAGAAGTGTTTCAGCTTTGCTGCTCAGGAAATTGTGATTTTTCTTCTGACCTCATTCGTGCAAGTAGGTTGTGGCAGAGCTGGGCTTTCAGGGCTGGGCTCTTCTCTGCCCCACAAAGCTGTGCCTTGTTTTCTCAGCTGTGTCCTGCGACCCAGCAGCCTGATTTATGCCAAAAGTGGGGCTGCAGCTGAAAAAAGAGCCTGGCATGTGCCAGTGGGGGATGCTGAGCTGCTGCTGATCCGCCCAAGAGATCAAAGGAGCAAAAGCCAGCCCACGCTGGGAGAGGGGCGCTGTGCCAGCATCGCTGCAGCTCGGCTTATCCTCCCGCTGCTGAATAATTCATGCCGTTGCAGCGTGTCATTAGAGGGCTGCTGGAAAAATCAGTGCTATAAAAGGTTCGTCTTTTGAAGCTCTGGAAAAAAATGTTTGAAGTTGAAGGCTTTTGCAGACTTATGACAAGTGTGGGTCCAAAGTCACCTGAACCCCAGGGCAGGAGGGGCAGCTGAGCACAGGCAGCTCCTGGTGTCTGGGGGGCTTGACTATGGAGAATTACCATGGTTGGATCTACAGCCATCCTTCCTTAGGGTTGTGTGCTACAGGGCTGTTCCTATACTGTGAAATGGCTTTGCTGAGGCTGCTCCTTCCCAGGTGTCACTTAGCAGAGCATTATCTCAGTTGCCTTTGCCCCCCCCTCCCCATATGCTGGGACCTTCTCTTCCAAAACGTTCCATCAGCACATGGGGATTAGCCTGCTGTGGGGACTTGTTTGCATTTAGAGTTTTGTTAAAACAGCCCCAGGGAACTGCAAAGCTCACAAGCCCACCTTGGCAGAGGAAAGCTGAGCTGGAGACCTGCACAAGTGCAGCCAAGTGCTCCCACCCCTGACTTAATTTGAGATTAACCCCAGCTGTGGTGGGAGGTCTGGCCATGTCAGGGGATGGTTGTCCTGCAGCCAGCAGTTCAGGCAGGAGAAGGATGATCCTGCTGGTGCCTTCTCAGCCTCTCCATGTGATGAACTCCCCTGGAACCAACAGGTAGGGTGTTGTGTGCCTGGGGTGTTTTGGGGATGGGTGTGAGTCCTGGGCTTGGGACACTTGCTGTTTTGGTACTTCTCTGAAAGCTTCTGGTGTCCAAAATAAGCTGTTATTCCCTGGGCTGCCCTTGGCTGGAGCTAGGCAGGGATGTCCTGTTCACAAGGGAATCCCTGAGGTGTCAAATAAAATCATAATAGTACAAAAATCCAAACTCTTTTAATACTTTCCAAAAATTCGACAACAAAAAAAGTTACATCAAACAACCAACCAAAGAAAACCTCTCACGAAGAAACGATACATTTCCAAGCACAAGGACAAACAGGCAAACCCACGCTCAGTGGCCTCGGTGCCCTGTCTCCAGGTGGTGCTGGCCAGTCTTTCTGGGATGCACCAGGGAGCCCCAGCTGGGGGGCAGGACCGTGTCCTGCTGTGTTCAGCGTGGGACCGTGACAGCCACGGGGGCACAGCTGTGCACACAGTCCTTGGGGCAGGGTCTCCCTCAGTTGTGTGAGCACAGCCTGACTGGGCAGACTGGTTCGAGTCTGTGGGTGGTTCCTGGTGTGACAAACCTTGTTGCTTGGTTTTCCACAGAAATGGACTCTTTTTTTTCTTTTTCTTTTTTTTTTCCCCTTGGACTTCTCTTGGCCAAGTGAGGGATGTGCTGAAGGGACCAGCTGCATTCCCTCATCTCTCTCCCAGTATCAGGGAGCAGACATGGAAGAGGGTTTGCACCAGCTGATCCATTCCACTGGGCAAACTGTTGGCTTGATGCAAGCCCTTGAAGTCAGAGCTGGGGGCAGGGGGCCTCTGCTACCCCACGTGGGGCACTGCCAGGCTGTGCATCACTAGTCCTTTCATACCTTCTCCACCACGACTGCTGCCATACCCACAGTGCTTGCTCTGCTCCTCATCCTCCCTGTGGCCAGGGAGGGAGGAGGTGGCATGCTGTGGCCCTACATGATGTCAAAGGAAGTCCCCTTGGTAAAGAGGCAGGTTAGTCACTGGCATCCCAGGAGCATCCTCCGTGTCCCAGCAGTGGCTGGAGCATTTCCCCTCCATTTCCAGCAGGAGCACTGTGGAGGGCAGTGAGGGGAAAGATCCAGCCAAATTACAACCCAGCCATGCAGGGGGAGATGCTGCAAGCTGTGGGGGACACACAGGAGCCTCCCTTCAGCAGCACGTGCCAGCCCCCTGCACACTGTTCTGCGTGGAGATGTGCTTCTCTTCCCATCTCAAGAGCGAGCCCCCGTTAAAACATCACCTCCTCGCAGCTCCCGTAGTCGCTCTCCACCATGTCAGAGCCCTCGTAGTTGGGGGGTGGCAGGGGCTGGGCTCGGATGCTGGGCTGGTGGCCCACCTCGCAGTCCGCATAGGAGGGCTGGGCCACGCTCAGCCGCATGCTCACCCGCTTGTAGCCCGGGTCGGGCTGGTACGGGACACCCTCGCCCTGCACCAGCTGGGCTGGGTAGTAGCTGATGGCCGTGTACTCATTCTGGCACTGGGAAGCTCCCATGTCCACAGGGCCGAGTGGCAGGAAGTCCTCCAGGTTCTGGTTGCTGTAGCGGGGCGGGATGGGTGCTCGCTTGTTGCTCTGGTCCAGTGGGAAGGGAAAGCCCCCGTAAAGGGCGACCGGCTCCGTGTCTGCTGGTGGAGGGGGTGGTGGAGGGAGAGGAGGGTGGGAGGAGGACGCAGGGGGGCCTTGAATGATCTCGTAGTGGGAATATTCCTGGACATCTGACGACAGGTACCGGGGTGGCCAGTAGGTTGTTTCTGCTGGGTAGACTGAAATAAAAGAGAGCTATGTTAGCTGCAGCTCAAGCGGTTGTTGCCTCTTTCTCGCCCTCCTGCTAATTCCTTCTGTGGGCTCTGAGCCTGTAGATGTGGCAGACTGGGGAAGAGAGGAGACGTGGGGACATGGGAGCTCTAGCTGCTGCTTTGGGAACTGAGGGGACCTGAGAGCAGCCTTGGCTGTGCTGAGGCAGTGTCCCTGCCAGCCTGCAGAGATCCACTACTGTAGCACCCAAAAGACACACTTCATCACACCATTTGGATGCAAGAAGCTTGCATGATAAAGGGATTGGAGCAGAGCCAGCAATCCACTGGATCTCTTTCTTTCCCTGTAGTTATTCTTGTGAATTCTAGGACTGTGCTTTGGTGATGAACTCTTGCATGGAGTAACTGCTGTCTGGAGCCATGCAAGGTGTCCCTGAGGATGTGATCCCTCTTCCTAGGAGCACTGATACAAATGTCTCCACTAAAATTCACACTAACTTTTAGGATCTCAATTTTTTTCTTTCATTTTTCTCTTTTACAGGACCTTTTGATCCAGAGTATGTGGGAATCCAGGCTATGAAGTAATGATTTCCCTGTTGATTGTGTATGAGACTGATCAGGTTAAAGCAGAAAACTGGGATATACTGGGGAGCATGGAGGAAAGAGCCTATAAAAGCCCTATAGCAGGGCTGGGGAAATGTTTGCCCATGCTTTACTTGGCTTTAGCCAACACCATTTGCCCCTCATGTTTTCAAACCTCAGACCCACTTCACAAGGGGAAAAGGGACATGTAAGAGCAAGAAAGAGCTGTGGCTACTGACCCATCTCCTCCCTGGCCCAGGTGCACTTGATGAAGGACTCGTTGTCGGAGTTGGAGGGGGGTGCAGCAGGGGGCAGGTTGGGAGCCACACTGCACACGATGGTGCCCCGGTGCTTGGGGACGTTGGCAGAGTTGAAGGTGACGAATTCGGGGGTGCCGGTGGGTTTGCGCTGCTCCGGCGTGGCCCGGTCCAGGTTGTTGTGCGCTGCGTCGCTGAGGATGTTGAGCTCGATGGGTGGCACGGCCTGGGTGCCCACGCCCACGCTCTTGGAGAACTCGCTCTTGGAGAGCAGGTCGGGGTCCTCCCTGGCCACGGGCTTGTGAGCCTTGGCGCGGTGCCGGTAGCGCTTGCGGATGAGCACGAAGGCCACGACCAGGATGGCCGCCCCCACCACACCCGCCACGATCTCCGCGATCTCCTCGGGGCCCACCGCCCACTGCGTGGGCACGATGGCGGGGGTGATGATGGGCTGGGTGCAGTAGTCCCCTTGGTAATCGGAGGGGCAGATGCAGTGGACAGAGCCCTGGCTGCTCACGCAGCGCCCGGAGTTGCGGCATGGGTTGTCTTGGCACTCCTCGGCCAGCTTCTCGCACCTGCGGGGAGGAAAGGATGGAGACAACCACCATCAGCCTGGGGATGCAGCTAGAACTGCCTTACCCTGTTCAGGGCTCTGACTTAGACCAGCCAAGGATGCTCCATCCCCATCTGCTCTCCCTCCCTTGCTTCTCCTGGCAGAGGACTGTGATCCTTGAGTATAAAATTATGCTTTTCAGGAGACTGTGTTTAACAGGATGGTCCTACTTTTCAGTCGAATGCAGCAAATTAAAATGGGAACCTTCCTGCCTCAGAGGAGAGTTTAGTGTTCTAGGGCTAACAAAGCATAGAAAAGTGCTTCCATCCTGTTAAATTAGGGAGCCCAGGGTCAGTCTGAGGTGTGTTAACCTCTTATGAAGTTCACTATGCCCTCCAGGCTCTGTGGGGTCTCAGGATGGTTTGTAGATGTCTGCAGGTTGCACTAAACATTTGAAGAACAACTACCCTGAGAAGCGGTGAATGGGCATCCTTGTTGCAGAGGCTTTTTGACATTTTATGGAGCACCTTCAGAACTGGGATGGAATTTCTGGTCTTCTGTCCTGCTCCACCCCACACAACCTAAATGTTTCCCGACAGTACCAGGACCTTTCCTTCCGACAGCAATGATCTCCCTATGCTAGAGGGAATATGCAATGCTTTATTGGCTTTCCTTCCTTTTTTTCTCATTAGTGAACGAACTCCATGAGGTCTGGGCTTCTCTTGTAGTCAGTGGTTTAGGATGTGTGAGCTGGTGTGCGCATCATGCACCCACAGCCTCCACCTGGACACCCGGTGATTTCAGATATTACACTGCCACCTAATGCTCAGCTACAGGCTTGTATTCCAAGAGTTGAACAATTTCTGCCTTTGCCTTGATCCACAGGACCAGTGTTCATCCTGGCTCAACGGCTAAGGCAGAAGGATGAACTGGGCCAGCAAGGACACGCTTTGAACCTGCCCCACAGCACCTGCAGCCATCAAAGCATCTGTGAGGAGAGATTTTTCTGTTTTCCCTCCTGCTCAGAGGAGATGGGCACAGAGCAGCAATGGCCACACGATGGCAGAGCTATCTGTGTCCTGGTCTGCTCAGCTCTGCCCTCGGACACCTCCCTGCTGCAACGCTTGGGTACCCTCAGTTTGCAATTAGTCCCAGCGAGACTGGTGAGCTCCAGAAATGTGCACTGCTCATTGGTAGAGACCACCATGGGATGTCACCCATCCCAAAGCCCCCCTTTGGGAGGCCCTTACCTCTCACCCACGGACCAGTCAGGGCAGTGGCAGGAGTAGCCGGTGGCGGAGAGGGTGCAGGTCCCGCCGTGCAGGCAGGGCTTGGACTCGCAGGGACTGTCCCCAAGCTCGCAGCGCTCACCAGAGAACAGCCCGGGGCAAATGCAGGTGTAACCTGGAGAGGGCGAGAGTGAACATATCTGTATGGAAGAACTGGCAAGAACAGGGAGAAGCAGTGACCGGTGGCACCCACAGAGGGCTCAACACGCTCCCTAAACACAGGTACTTGCTGCTACAGCAGTGCTATGGGGCACCTGAGCCATATGTGGCTGGCGAGTACATTACAGGACCTGGTGTGGTTGCCGGAGGCTCTGGGGCAATGCAGAGGCACTAGGGAGCTGTTTGAGCAATGAGTCAAGTCCATCCTGACACAGACCTCTCCTGCCAGGGATGCAGTCAGGGCACAGCATTATTGGATGGAGAAGCTGAGGGACAAATTCAGGATAAAGGAAGGGGAGCCTGGCGGGCTGATTCACAGTTTCTGACTCTCTTAAATGCAATCCTCTCTAATTTATTGTTCTCAGGAGTCTTTGGTCCTACGAGTTCTCGCGGTATGAAGCGCCTGTCTCAACATGTCAGGTTTCTCTTGCCTACAGGAGATGTCTGTTTGGAGCCAGAGAGAAACCAGGCACAGTAAGGACTAAGAGGGGGCTGCTGCTGTTTGTGTTTTTGGCTGCTGTTTAGTGTAGCCCTTAGCATGGGAATGTCCCTGGCTGTGCTGAGCTCTTGCCAGTTGCTTGGCTGGTGGTGCCATGCGGGAAATTCAGAGTTTCCACCTTGTAGCACACTTGAAAAGTCTTTGCTACTCATCCACAATCTAAACAACCCTGCTTTAGAGCACGGGGTGAACAAACCTGTTTCCACATGTGTGTTAGTGGCTGTACAACAAGGACGTGCTGGCACTCGTGCAGCAGGTGCTGGACGTTGCCCATAGGGCTGCATGTGCCCAAACACACATGTTCTGGCTCACATGTGTTTGCACCCTGTGGTCCTGAGCGCTGTGGTTGGTGTGGTGGCTGGTCTGGCTTGGACCCTCTCTGCACAGATGTGTTCTCACACGGCCACGTGGCTTCCCCAGGCTCGCTTGCACAGGCATGTCTGTGCCTGTGCATGTAATCCCACACCTGAGATCCCTGGGCAGGGCTCTGCATAAACTCAGTGCTGCCTGCTCCAGTCTCCAGGACTCAGCCAAGCATCCAGGATAACCTCACAAAATAAATGTTTCTTGAGCAACCCCTTCCCTGCAGCAATGTCCTGCCTGGGGCCATGTCCCACAGGCCCTTTCCTGGGCAGCTGGGCCATTTGCAGGAGAGGTTGATCACCTTGGAAGGAAACTATGGGAAGGGTACAGCATGATCACCAGTTTATTAGTGGAGTGATTTTCCTCCTCCTCTTCCTGCTGTATTGTCTCTGCAACAAAAGCAGGGGATGCCTTGACTTAGAGCAGAGATGCATTTTCCCCTTGTAGGCTTTGAGCCCCTTGCAGCCCAGCCAGAGAGGTTTTCTGTGCAAAGAGTCTCAAGGCTGAGGTGTGAGTGCCAGCCAGACTAACTGTTCAGTACAGATACACCTGGTGTCAAACAAGTTCACCTGAACCAGGCAGCTGCTGAGTCGACAGGGCTGGGAATCTTGTTCCCAGAGGCTGCGGGCAGGGCAGGAGAAGCTGTGCTGCCTCCTCTGTCCTCACTTGCTCACTGGGCAGGGTGTGGGCTTTGGCAATGGTCCCAAAGAGCACAGAGCTGCAGGAGGAGCTTCTGTCCCACACAGCAGCCTGGGAAGCACCCCCCTGCCCCCTGGAAGGGCCAAGGGGCAGGCAGTACCTCTCTCGATAGACAGGGTGTTGCAGGGTGCAGCCCTGCTGTGCTGGAACCTAAAATATGGTGCAGGGCAGTGACACAAAGGTGGACATCCCTGGGAGCAGTTCCAACAAACCCCATCCCTGTGACATAGCTTGCTGTGAGGAGCCCCTCTGATGGGAGGACAGGGCAGCGGTGAGACTGCCTAGGGCAGGGCCTGCATCAAACCTCTGTTGAGTGTCTGCAGCCCATTTTAGCCTGGGACTCTTGGATTAGAGCTTACGGTTTTCCCATATCCCTTTGCATAGCCCTGGGGAGTCACTCACTGCAGTGGGAAGAGACCAAGATCTTGGCTTGTTTATGCCCAGATACAATCATTGTGTGATCCCATCTTACCTGATCCCAGCCTTGTTAACAGCTCCTTAAGCAAAGAGGATGCAGAGGGGTGGGTGGAATTTCTATTTGCATTTGAGTTTTTGGCACCACTATGCTCTCCTATGTCATACACACTCCTTAGAAACACCTTCCTGCCCCGCGGGCCATGGTCCACTGGTGAGAGCCAGGATGATGATCTCATACCCGGCAGCTGCTGCTGCTGCTGCACTGAGTCAGGTATCACTTGAGGTCCCCTGGGACAGAGCACCTCTGGTTCTCCCCTGGAGTAGCCCCCCCATCTTTCCCTCCCCTCCCTGCTTATTGCTCTCCTGCTGCTCTGCGTGGGATGTTCACATACCTCCTCCGTGAGTTTCGGAGCACATCCCGTTGTTGAGGCATGGGTTGCTGCTGCAGGCACCAGTGGGGGAGCAACACTGCTTTATCCCCACCTGCTCCATGATTTCTTTTGACTGCCCTTTCCCAGGCAGGAGAACCACTTCTCTGCCGTTGATGGCAACCACATCCAGGCAGCCCCTGAACCCCCGTGTGACTCTCTGGGAATGCAGTGACTGCCGGAGGCCCCCAAAAATCAGGTCCCGTCTGCCCTGGGAGACACTACAGGTCCCTGGCAGCTGGAGAGAGGCATTTCCCAGGCCATCGATGAGCAGGCGGACGGACACGTTCTTCACCTCCAGGAAGACCGAGTGCCACTCGCCGTCGCTCACAAAGCGGGAGGAGGAGAGGTTCCCGGTGGAGTTCCCCCGGCAGCTGTACCCAAGGTGAGGCACCCCGTTAACCATCTGTAAAACACATCCCAGAAGTCATGGTTAGCTGTCATACAGGTGGCTGCTGTTTATGGAGGGTTTCAACCTCCTTTACTTTGCAAAACACCTTCATCTCTGGCACAATTGCACCTGTGGTCCTTCCCTGGAGCCTTTGACCAGTGTGCAGGGAGGGAAGCTCATCTTTCCACTTAACAGAGAGCAGAGCCATGTGATGAGACTGCTGCATCTCCTCACCCCTTCTCCCACCTCCCTGAGTCTAATCAGACTGGCATTCAGACTGTCCATAACTCCATCACCAGTTGCAGAGGGACCATGCGGCTTTTGTTCTGTTCTCTCTGTCTCATGAGTGGTGGGGAAGGTGCTGGAGCAGTTGCCCCTTTGGCACGGGTGAGGGTACTGAAAGCACCTCGTCAAGGAGGAGTTGGGAGGCAGAGAAAGGAATGACTGTTGCACTTGTCTCCTAACCAGCGTGCTGGAAAGCCAGGCCAAAGCTGCTGAGAGGTGCTGCCATCCATTCCTTGATCTCCAGTAGATGGGAGGGAGACAAGATATTGAGCTGCTAAAAGTGAACCACTTTTAAAAGTGAACTAGTGTCTTCTGCATTACACTGGGACATTAAAAATACCTATTTGTGGCTCAAGGTTAATCTTTAAAGCTCATGGAGGAAGGAGAAAGAAAAGGTTAGCTGTGTTGTTCTATGGTAAAGACAAAAATAAACCTTTTCTCCGAAGTGCTTTGCTGATAAAACCTCTGGCTCACAGAAGCCAAAAGTCTGTGGAGAAGGAGAGAAGAGATGGGATGGAATGAAATGCTCATGGAAAACCTGCAGAGCTTGCTATGTAACATTAAGCAATTCATCATAGGCAAGAGAGATCTCCATGGGGGGCACTAGAGACAGTGAGGAGGGGTGATTCTTGGAAGGGACTAGAGGAGGAGGACTGATTATGGGCTACACTGGCTCTAGAGGAACCTGCATAAAATATGATGGGGCTACTCTGGAGGGGACAAAAGCAGAACACAACAGTTAACTCTTAGAGAAGACCACAGTATAAATAAGTCCCAGTGGGAGGAGAAGCAACTGCTGAAGGAAGGAAGGAAGAACAAGAAGCAGTTGGCACATGCCATGGAAGGGCCTCAGGGCAACGTGTGTGTAAATCTCTTTGCACAATTGGCAAGCTCACCAGAGAACTTTGTCACTTCGCTTTATCTGGAGGAACATGATTTCACTTCAGATGGGTCTGCAGATTTGCCTTATCAATTTCTGGGGCTGGGAGACAGCTGAGAACTCAATTCCCTGGAGCAAGAAGTGACAGGCTGCCAAGTCTTTCCCAGCTTGCCTGGTTTGCCATCCTCTTGCTGCAACCTATTTCTGAACATCAGGAGAGCTTAGTGTCTGGAAGGGGGATGGTATTTATGACCTTGGGAGAAATCATCCTCTTCACCAAATCTACAAACCAGTGCTTATGGTTCTTTCAAGGCTTTGGCTCACATCTGGAGTACTGCAGTTTATGAAGCTTAAAATCTCGAGGGATTCCTTCATTTTTATCAGGCCAGATGGTTTAGAAAAGTTTTTATCCCTAAGATATTGTTAATAGAGCAAACCAGGGAAGAAAGGAGTCACAGCCACTGTTATGGAGGAGGCTTTCCTATTGAAAAGCTTGTGGAGAGATCTGGGTATAGAAGATCACAGGCACACTGAACTCTGTCAATAATGAGTCTTTTCTCACTTGACTCCCTGTGTTAGGCCTGGCTCAGTAAAGCTTTCTGCCATCTCATCCTGTCTCAGCATCATCTGGAGTGCTGGACTCCTGCTGAACTACTTAGTGACTCTCCTTCCCAGAGGGGGGTAGAAGGCTAGAGACTCTTCTTGAGAAGTTTTTCTCATCAGCCCTTTACAGTGCAGCTTAAAGTCATTCTCAGAGATGGGTACAGGAGATATGGATGATGTTTCTCTGCAGGAGAGGAGAGCAGGAGTGATGGCTGTGGCAGCAGGAGCTTAGAGTATGTGCAACAGGCAGGTCTCTGGGCGTTGGCTGCTGTGCAGCTCCCTGTCTGTGTGGGTCTTTTATAACAGTGGAATGAAAAGTGTTTCACAATAGGAAGATGGGGTTGTGAAACCATGAGAAGGGATGAGGGAATTCAAGGACAGGACGAACACTTCCAGGTAGGTTACAGTGTGTAGATCTCCATGTGATTAGTCTCAAGGACAAATCTCTGTAAGCTGTTAAGTATGTCCTGTGATCTTATTCTCCAATTAGTCTGAATTTAATTGATGAGGTATATACAAAACCCCTACTCTTTAGTCATCTGCTGCTTTCCTTCTGTTGCCAAAGTGGAAGAGGGAGGTGATCTTTGAATGCTGGGGAGGTTCAGCATTCAGCCAAAGGGAGGAGAGTGATCAGACTGAAATGTTCCTGGCTCTGCAGGTGTCTTAAACACTGAAATCATCTGAAGAAAGTGGTTGAAAAGAGGGGGAGTGTGTGAAAAACATAATTTGGGACTCCTGTTTTTTTCTCTTTTGTCCATTACTGTAAAGGATCTTTAATTTGAGGTATGGGAGGAAGCTCGTCCTTTGCTACAATGGAAACAGACTGGTCTGGGGACAACTCCACCTGGTAACTCACACCTCCTGAGAGGTGTGATATAAGAGAGGAATGAGAAGCAAGCTGTAAGGAAAGAATGCAGATCTGCTATGGGTGTCTGCTGATTTCACACCAGAGACTAGCACATGCTTTCACAGATGTGAAAAATGATTCACTAGCTGAGGGTGCAGCAATTGCCAGACTGTGCTCGTCTCTGACTTGGTCTTCCCAAGTCTTACATTCAGCTAGATGAATGACTAAGGGTACATATTATTGCATCTTCTTTCTGTGATTCCCTTCCTTGAAAGAGGAAGGTTTTTTTAACTCTGGAAAGAAACCCCTGCCACTGCAATACACACCTCCAAAGTGGCGTGGTCCGTCCCGTTGGCAGAGAACACGACCGCATGACGCTGGTGGGTCTTCAGGCGAAAGTGTATGTGCCAGGAGCCGACCTGGGAGTGCTGGTACCAAATGTAGCTGTGACCCCCAAACCTCACAGCTGTTCCTGAAAGGAGAACGAGAGAAAGATCTCATCTTTGTCGCTCTTTGAGGCTATGGACTGGATCAAACCTTGCCTCTTTTCCTCCCTGGATGCCATAACTGTCCAGGAACAGCCCCACCCATGGCAGTCCATGCACCTCCCACAGGTCTCCTTGGGAGCTCCCAGTATTTCTTCTATGTACTCAATTGTGAAGCAACCCTGAAATGTCAGCCTGGCTGACACTTCTGTCCTATAGAACCTTCAAGGTGCCCTAAGCAGGGTCTATAACACCCTCAAAATTTCCTCATCCTCAGTAAGTCTTTATATTAATTCTATGGTGTTCATTCCTGCCCAAGCGATGTTAACATCTATCCCTGATACCACCATTTATTTCTTGAAGTAGTCTAGAGGATAAAAAATATACTTTATTTGTCTTTCCTCTAATTTATCAGTTAGTCTGTGCTTTGCTGGGTCTAGGATCAACACAAGAGCTCAGGGATCAATATTCTGACCACTGAGCTTCATTACGTGCTAGGTATGAGTGACTTTTCCCAATGAGAGAGACAGATGTTGCTGCTATTAAACGCTACAGGAGATTAATTTTAAAAAAAGTACACTGTGTGAAACTTTCAAGCTCTAAGAATCTAATTTAGGGTTCGAAATTTCAGGCAGAGTTTGGGTCACTGGGCAGCCTAATTCCATGAGAAATCCAGGTGCTTTATAGTGTACTGAAGGAAAACACAGTATGGCCAGGTTTACAGGGTAGGACACTGCTGGGAAGGATTGCTCACCGTTGCAAGAACAGATCTGCTCCAGGCTGTGGCGGGGGGTCAGGACGCTGAGTCGGGCGGTGCTGTAAGTAGACATCATGCCTGGATCCAGCTGAATTGTCTCCTTGCACACACGGTGGGCACAGTCTGACCCATGACACGGCACATGAATCGCCTTCTTCATCCGGAGACCGACGAGCTGGTCCATCTCCCCCGCTGACACAGTGAGCTTATTCGCCAGGACCCGGGGCTCGTACAGGGAGCCGTGTGGCTCCCCGACAGCCAAGAGCAGGTCCACTCCATCAGAGGCAGCTGCAGGCTGTAAGCTGGCCATGTGGATGTTTTGGCGCCGGGTGACAAGGATGTTCCCCAAAAATCTCTGCAAGTTGCGCCAGTGGTCCCCCACAAACTCCTCGGGGGAGAGGTGTCGGAAGTGCAGCACCACTGCCTTGTCCAAGGCCTCCTGCGTGAAGCACCACACGTGGACGTTGACGCTGGTGGTGGCTGTGAACGTCCCATCGCTGACTGTCACGTTCAGAAGGTAGTGGCCGTGGGGAAGCTTGTCCCCAGCAATGATCTTCCCATCGGCAGCCCCGACAGAGAAGAGCCCTTCCTTGGGCACTTCTGCCACCAAAGTGTACAGCAGCGTATCATGGGGGTCTCGGTCCGTGGCGTGGATCTTCCCCAGAACGCCCCCTCTGAAGGCTTCCTCGTTGGTGGTGATGAATATTTCCAGGGGAAGGGCTGAGGGGGCATATTGGCTCTGCTCAGTCACTTGGATGTTTATAAATGCAGATGAGGACAGAGGAGGGATACCACTGTCAGAGACCTGGTAAGGAAAACAGAAGGATCTGTTATGGCCACGTGCTGACTGACTGACACCTCACCTGACTGGATGGCCTGACGAGGTCCTACGAAGGAGAGCACCTTGCAGGTAGGAATGGGTGGAATGTGACAGGCAGTGGATTGGGAATGAAGAAGGGATGGGTAAAACTGGCAGCAGTGTTGGACCTGTGCCTGGAGACGGCGCCAGGGAAATGGCAGCACGCCTTCCAGCACGGAGACTGACTGAGGCCTTCTGCTAGTGGTGGGGTCACGCTCACTCCCGTGTGTGCTCATCAGCAGCTGAGGCACACCTGAGCAGGGCTCTGAACTCCTGAGGGTTAATCATGTTTTGCTCCACTGCCAATCTTTGGGGTTCCATGTCTAACTGAGTGTACAGAGATATAAAGCAGTTACGCACATTAACACATTTGCTCCCCTTCCAGACTGCCTAAGCCCGTGTCCCAGCTCTGTCTACCATGAGTTAAGGAACCTCAAAACAGAAAAATGCGAATAATCAGATTATAGGATAAATTTCTCCCAAATGCTAAGCAGTTAGAGGTTGAGGTTTGTAATATAATAGTACCTAGCTTTTAAAACAACTGCCATTACTGAAGAAGTATGTACTTTACATCTTATTATCCTTTTGTTTGTAATGGACTATTCTTACTGATAACATTGAAAAATAATTAATTCATTCTGCAACAATAGAAATCCTTTTTGAAGAGGAACTTAAGCCACTTCTTAAATGACAAGGATAATTAGAGAAAGCTTGTAGGACCAGACCCAGGTCTTGCTTTAAATTGGAATTCACTAGAATGATTATGGGAAAAGCATCTGTCTAAGGAAACTGCTGACAGAGTGTTTTTTGTGATCATATTATCTGATTTTATCAACACAGAAGCTGGCCCCCTGCTTCTTGTGGGCAGACTGTGTGGAGAAATAAGCTCTGGAGTTGGCTCCAAGCTGCACAATTTGTGTCTGGATTGGATTTCTTCAAAGCCAGAGATGTTTTCATTCAGCTGGGCCATCCTAATCACATATTGTTGCTATTTGCTGGGGAATTCAGACACCAGGACAGTAACACAGGCTCTACCTGGACTTGCAGTAGGTACTGTTCTTTCATTCTTCTATTCAGGACAGACGATGTCACCAGCAGACCATTCTGGGTGACATCAAAGGCCTTCCCATCGTTGCCCTGGGTAATCTGGAATGAGTACGGTGGTCCATTTTCTGGGGAATCCCTGTCGCTCATAATCAGCTCCAGGACGCTTGTACCCACGGGAGCATTCTCCTGAAATGGGGAAACATGCTTTTGGAAAAAGACAAGCAAAGAGAAATGGCTCGGGGGAACCTACAGTGCCCCAGGAGCTGCTGGATCAGGAAGAGGGAAACAAATCCCACCTGCCCTGTGCATCTCTCCAGAACACACAAAGCACAAAGCTTTGCCACCATCCTGCCCCTCTGCTCCAGCAGCAGTTCATGCATGAGTTTCTTAACAACGTGAGAACAGAGTGTGTCCTGGCTTACCTGCACCACCACACTGTAGTTGAGCTGGAAGAACCGAGGAGGGTTGTCATTGACATCAGACACATGGACATGCACAGGGACGTCACTGAACTGAGGCGGGTGGCCGTTGTCCGTGGCTCGAACTGTCAAGGAATAACTGGGGATCTGGAGGATTTGTAGTGCAGGATTACTTTGAGAAATGGCAGAATGGTGGCTTTTTCACATTGAAGTTTTACCCCGCTGCAGCTTGTTGAAATGCCTGGGGCCATGTATTGCACCACAACAACAGCTCTGCCCTTGGCTAAGGCTCTCCATCCATAAACCTCGCTCAAAGCTCACTGCTAAACAAAATCAGCCTCACAGCAGTTGCAGAGAAGAGAAACAGCTTGCCAAATATGGATGAGACTAAGCTGGGCAAATATCTGTCAATAATGGTTTAAGTTGCTGCTATTTTAAGAATGACAGACTGTCCAGGTGACCTTTCCATCTCCTCCCCACACCCGTTTTCCATAATTTTCTGATGCAGGGAAGCAGAAGTCAACTGTGTTTGTTTCCAGTTTGGGGCTGACTCTCACCCAGACAGCTTGAAACACCAATGGAGCAGACAAAAACTCAGAGTTGTAGAAGGTGTCCCTACCAGTGGCAGGGGAGTTGGAACTAGATGATCTTTAAGGTCCCTTCCAACCCAAACTATTCTGTGATTCTATACTGCCTTTCCTAAAGCCCAGCCTTCCTACTGCAGTATATATGAGTCTAGAAAATGAGTGAATGAAAGACTTGTCTTCTATTAACAGTATTATGAGTAAATAATTCAGAAAACAGGAGGTAGCTGGGCATATTGTGCTCCATCAGTTTTTTGGGGCATATCTGTTTCAGCCTTCCTGTTCTCAGTGTCTCAAACTCACCTCCTCCCTGTCCAGATGCTTGGCAATGCTGATCTGCCCACTTCTGGGCTGAATGGCAAAGTGTCCCAGTGGGTTCCCTTCCACGATGGAATATGTGATCTGATTGTTCATTGCTCCATCCAAGTCATCAGCTGACACCTGTTTGGAGAGAAAAAAACCCAGCTAGGACCCCTGGGCCAAAAAGGCTGTTCCATGGAGGAGCTTGTGCAGGACCTTGTTGTCATTTAAGGGTATTGGTTTGAGCTTGCCTCAAATGAGGAGGGGAAGGAAGATTGTTTAAATAAATGTTGTCCAACAGTTTTTTCAAGACAAAATTCATCTACAGCAATGGCTTTCTCCTTGTCCCTTTCCTGACTTGACCACCCCTGCGATGGTAACAGGCTAGACAGGGAACTCCACAAGGAATTACCTTGGGCTCTGGTATTCTGCCCACAACAGGGTATTCGCCTTCTTCTTCAGGCATTTTAGCTCTCTTGGGAGGTTCTCAAGGCTCCTGAGCCCCTCCTTAGCTTTCACTTAAAGATGTCTTGTAAGTGTTCCCCACATCTGTGGAGTGTCAGGAATTCTGGCAATCATCCTTTTAAAAGTCATGCTTTGGTCTTAGATGTTGAATGTCACAAACCCACTGAGGTGGCTGTGTCCAAGGAAAAGTAAAGTGCCAAAGAGGAGAAAATAATGCATAGCCCAAGAAAAGAACAGGTAAAGACAGCTGGCCTGGTTTGTAACCATACCGTGAGGATGACTTCTCCAACTGCAGCGTCCTCCCGGATATCAGTGAAGTAAGGGTCTTGGATGAACTCTGGTGCATGGTCATTGATGTCAGTTATGTTGATCACCACCATGGTCACATCGCTGAGAGAGGCTGAGCCCTTCCTTGTGCCCTCAATAGACAGGTAATACTCGTGACTCGCTTCAAAGTCCAGGCTCCCGTTTATGTATAAGGCACCTGCATTGTTGGATGGATAGGAAAGGACAGAAGACACTCTGAATTAAGGGCACGTGAGGTTTTTTGGAATACTGCAAATACACCAAGGCAACTGCCAAACTTCCAGCTGAAAAGGTGTTGTTGGCCTAGCTTTGACCTTCTCTGGTTAAACTGGAATACTGAAGAACATGCATCCCATAAAACGAGTTGCAGCTCCACAGATTCTGTGATAACCTGCCTCATTTTGGTATCAAATGTTTGAAGAGGTGAAATAAACTTCTGGAAGGTGTCCAGGAATCTTGGCTGGGGATCTGGAACAAGACAGGATGAGAGTCAACAGTGCTCTTGAAAGCTGTGACCAAAGCAGTAGTAGAACATCACTGTGAACTGACACTGAACTGTGTCATAGGCAGGATGTAAAGGTGTGAGATGTAAATGCAGAGTTGTACAGGAGTTAAAGGTGTGCAGCAACATGCTCTGCTTTGTAAGTGAGGCTAGAGGTGCAATACAGAAAGGAGGAGGCTGGTAATCTCAAAAAAAAATGAGTGAGAAACATACTGAACATACGGACTGAAGACATAAAGTAAAAGCAGAAAAAAAAAGACCAAGGGTAGCAGAGCGTGCCTGGGTTCTGCACTGAAACTATCACAAATTTATTCCCTGGAAATGACACTGTTCTGTGTCTTTTAAGATGTACAAAACTAGTAAGAAGATTGCTGGGGAAAAATTAGCAAGAGTCTTGGGGACAGAGAAGCTGAGGATGAGGATGTTACAGCCAAGGGCAGGCCACTGATGAGGCAGCCAAGGGCTTGTTTCAGGGAGCTGACATTGGCCTTCTGAGAACAGCCCTTATCAGATCGCTGTGCAAACAGAGCAGTGCTTTATTTGGCTGGTAAACCAGGCTCAACACCTGCTCATGGCTAAGAGTCGTATTATCCATGTTCATTGAGTGCTACCTAATAAAGCTGCCTGTTACCCTGGGCTGCAGGTTCCTCGTGGGTTCAGAATGGAGAGATTTTTTAAATGAAACCACTTTCTCCTGCCTTTTGAAGTGGAAAAATTTCTCCATGTATCCTTCATTCACATGGACCTGCCTCAGACATATAACATGAATTTTTCCATTAATTTCAGTAAGATTTGGATCAGTCCTTAAGTGACTTGGCTGCCAAAATTTAAAGTAGAAAAGAAGACTGTAGTCCCCACCCTTGTGCTGGCTGGGAGCAGAAGGGGAAGCCAAATGGAGAACCAGAAAAGACAGGGACAGCCTTTGGTGTTGGCTCAACCTGAACCTGCTTGGGCACAAGGTCATTTTACCTGTGTTTGAGTTGAGCTGAAATTTCCCGTGGTCGTTGCCATTCACAATTTCATACTTGATCTCTGTGTTTTCTGCATTGTCCCTTGTCAAGGCTGACAAGTTGAGGACCTCTGTACCCACAGCCACGTCTTCTTTTACCATGGCCACATATTCAGGGGCCAGGAAAACAGGCAGGTACTCGTTTAGATCCACAACAGAGACAGTGACAGTGCCAAGAGCAGAGAGGGGCTGTGGGGTGCCCCGGTCAGTAGCACAGACAGTCAGCTCAAATGCTGAGTGCTGAGAATCCTTCAGAGGCTTTTCCAGACGGATCACCCCTGTGGTTTCCTCAATTGAAAAGTGTCCATTGGCAGAGTCAGACAGAGAATAGACCACCTCAGCGTTGAGACCTGCAAGGGTAAGGGACAGGCAGCATTAATTCATGGGTAGGAATGCTGCTGGTTTTATTTATTTATAATTCATTAGGACTATGTGTACTTAATGACCTTCAATTCCCAGGGAAAATGGAGGCTGTATGAAAATCATATGAACACCAAGTGTGCCCCTGTCCATCTGCAGGTTCAGACATCCAGTCACTCCCACAATTATCCTTCAGTATCACCTCTGTATTAACTGGTGCTTCCCATTTTTATTTTCCTTCATATATGCTTCCAAAGAAGATAAATATGATCCTGCTTCTCTGTCACCACAAATGCAGTCTCTGCTGGAGAGGTTTATTGAAAGCTCCTTTCCTAGGAGCCTTACCTATGTTTCTGAGAATCTTTGTGTCCTCTGAAGGACCTCTCCATCTGTGTTATCTACCCCATCCAGATCTAAAACTCCTTTTTTCCTTATTATGCTCATTCTCAGTCTCCATCTTTGATAAAGTTTCTGTCCAGTTTGGATCCCAGACAAACTGTATCACATTTTTTGCTGTGCATCACAGTTAGTTACTGAGCATGTTCTTAAAGTCTGTCTTTGCATGTTTCTACAGATACTGCACTTCAGACAGGGCCACAAAAATGCTGATGCCAGCCTGCTAGTCAAGGACATGTCAGCAACGAGATCCAGGCACATCTTCGGCCAAGATTCAATCATCTGTGCCCATTGCTGTAGCCCTTCCCTAGGTTTCAAAGGTTCCTATTCGGGATGAAAGATGAACTCTACTAACAAGTAAATCCCATTGTGACTCACCTTCATCAAGGTCCCTGGCAGCGACCACAGCGATGGGTGTCTTTGTTGTGGTGTTATCGAAAACGGCCACGGCGCAGTGACTGGGGAAGAATCTTGGTGCATTGTCATTTGTGTCCTCCACAATTAGTGTTACATCTGCCTGGCAGGAACGGCCCCCGCCGTCAGTGGCTTTCGCAACGAGGTGGTACGTGGGTTTCTGTTCGCGGTCCAGGGGTGCAGATGTGGTCAGCTCCCCTGTGGGAAAGAACAGGAGGTGGTCTTGTCTCCCAGCAATTGCAGCCACAGCCTACAAGACCTCAGGGAGGTTCAGCTGCCTTCCTGCATGAACCGTGGGAGACAACAGACCGGGCTTGGACACCCATAGTAATTCAGCTAATAGTGGTGGTGTGTCCACACCACATTGCTCAGGGCTGTTCTCGGATCGCTGCCAGCCAGTGCCCTGGCAAGACTTGGCACGGGGAGTCCTGCAAGTTCAGCTGAACTTCATGCAAGGGATGCCAACATGGGATAAAAGTGCTCATAACTAAATTGTACTTCTAAACACACCTTTATAAACCCCACTACACTGAGCTCCAAGTGATCTCTAGGATGATCACTGAATCTGTTTGGGTAAATATACTGCACAAGACCTGATAAGAGCTTTTCACAGTTTTTAACTTGAGTTTTTGGCTCAAGTAAAAGACCTCTTGTCCTGTTAGCAATGGTGTCTGCCCTTCATTTTAACAACACTAATGACACCACTTCTAACAAAAGCTAGCAGGAAGATTGAGAGCTCAACCTCCTCTACGCTGTGTTGCAATAAACCTGCCTGTTTGCCATTCCCTCCTCACTTGGGAGAGCTGGAATGAACAGCCCTTATGTTTGCTCAAGAGGAGATAAGTGTTGAGCCATGCTGGGAGCTTGGATTTCTCAGGAGCGGGTGAGGCAGAGGATAAAGGCATCCCATTGCCCTGCTCTCACCTGTGTGTGGTCCCAGCCGGAACTCCTCCGCGCCGGGGCCGTGGAGGCTGTAGGTTATCTGGGCATTGCTGCCAACGTCGGGGTCGGTTGCTGATATTTTCAAAATGAAAAGACCTGGCCCAGAATCTTCAGAGACTCTCCCAGTGTAGAGTATCTGACAAGGACAGAAGGTGTCATTGGCATCTGAGCTACCTCCAAAATACCTTCATCCCTTATGGGGAGGAGCAGACTAGGAGGAGTTTCATAGGGAAGGATAAACCCTTATATAAAACCCCTGTGGTTTATAGGGGAGCACAGTGTGCCTCCCATTGCTGGATGCTGGGGGGTGGATTGGGACCAGTGAGCTCATTTCACACAAGCCTTTGAATCTCCTTTGGGAAGCAACCACCTCTGTTCTTTCTCACCATGGCTAATGTCCACACCAGCGATCAGCTCTCTACAGCAACAAACCTTCTGATGGGAATCTCTCAGCACAGCAGGATATAAAACTCAGTAATTTACATGCCCCTACCCAGGAGGCTTCCTGGCATTGTTTATCTCCAAAAATTATCCTTCATAATGCTTAGGCTCTCACTCACTGCTGGCAAACATGCTTGGAGGCTAGATTTAATGTGCTTGCTTGACATGCAGCTTAATTAAAATTGCTAAGCATAATCAAAGCAACACGATCGTGTGAGAAGAATTACGACCAGCCAAACCCTTTAACATGCTCTGTCTGTTCTTTCTTCTTTGCTATTGTGTTCTCTCCTTCCCAGGCTCTCCCTTCATGCCCCAGATGTCCCAGAAGAGATGTTTTACCTGGCCACACTCAGGGCTGTTGTCATTGATATCCAGAACAAAAATTTCCACTTCAGTGGTAGCCTGGAATTTCCCATCAGAGGCCATAACCTTGAGGAGATATTTCTCTGTATCTTCTCTGTCCAGAGGCTTCTTGGAAGAAATTGTCCATTCGCCCTCAATTTCATTAACTGTGAACTGTCCCAGTACGTCTCCTTCTAGAAGGGGGCAGGAGGCAAGTAAAAAAAGGCATTTACTGAGCGCTGAAAATCAGAAGTGATAAGGAAAGGGAATATAGGTGTGTCCACTGTTGTTCCCTTAGGAGACCTGAAGGACTTTGATGACCTTAGAGTCTTTTCCAACCTATATGATTCGATGATTCTCTGACTTGCACTGGGGATGCAGAGACGGCACTGGTGGTGTATCCAGCAGGTGAGGAGCATTTGGTCTGCCTCATTGCACAGTTGGGAAGTACCCTGCCTGTTTCAGTTATTCCCTGTCTGCATATTACACTGGAAGGAGGAAACAACTCCTGATTGCAAAAAGGTCTCGGTAACGTTCTGCAGATGTGCATATTCATTGCCTCAAAACCACATTGTCTCACCTTCCCAAAGCCTGTCAGTCTTTCTCAGTGCATGCTCATAAAGGGATTTGAGAGTTTCAAATACCCTGCAGATATTGGTTGGATCTTACTGCTACAGCACCACATATAGTTGTACTTCCTCTTAACCTGTAGAGGTATTTAATACATAGCTGCACTTTCTGGGGTTACTTTTTGATTCTGTAAGAGCCAAATTATGTGAGACAGGTATATCCAGGCTAGGCAGGCTCTCTGGTCCACCAGATTCATGCTGCTCCTGCTGCTGCTACACAGATTAGATTTTAAATGGGCTGGATGCTGCCCGTGGAGAAGCCCTCTCTTTTGGCAAGGAGCTGGTGACCTCTGCTGACCTGAGACCACTGGGCAGAGAAGGGAGCACGTTAGGCAATGAGAATCAATGAGGAGTGCTGGCTGTGGGGCTTGTTTGTGTTACACTCTGAAGGGCCTCGCACAGCGGGGTAAATTACATTCACTCCCTTTCTGCTTTCCCTTGCACTGCAATGATGAGGTGGTGGATCTGGAGGCACAACGAGACCTCTGCTAGCCCTTCTTCTGATGCTGGGAAACACCAGCCCATACCCAGATTTAATTTCTGTGTGTCTGAAATCAATGTGAACAGGGCTCTGTGTCCTCAGATCAATACTCCTCTCCTTTGCTGCGGTTGCATTTATGTGTTTATGGATAGAATTTGACCTGTGCTTTTAAGTGCATAGCAGAGAGAGCATAAGGTGCTCACCACTAAGATAAGTGTGCATCCTCTCAGGTTTAAAGTAGTTGGAAGTTACTACTACCTTTAAGATGGCAGAAATGTGAATACATAAATGGATTAAATCTTTCCTCCCAAAGGCTTGCAAATACCTGGGCATGCCATAAACCAATTCAAAGTACCAGCATTCCTTCCCTGTTTTGGATGGTTAGAATAATAGATAACAGGCTGCAGCACGATCTGGCTAAATGTTTTGACCCTGAAGGGTCCTCATTTGAGTTTGAACAAACATTTTAATTTGAAGTATCTGCTCCAGGTCTCAGAAAGACCCTTTAGGGTCAAAAAAATACTGTAAACTCAAGCTTCTACTTGTGCAGATGCACATAAAACATTTCAGTGTAACTTTTTTGGTATTTTACAGCAGTGGTTAATTTTAGTTGGCACAAGTGATGTTTCAGGGATGCAAGAGTAATTTTTAGTATTTCTTGTTAGCCAAAACCTTTACTAAGATTGACATAACAGTCTCTAATCTCTCCCAGTGCAGAGTGGCAACTGAAGCCTTGTTGTTAAGTCAGACTCCAAGTGGCTTCATAGGAAACACATTTATCACCAGAAAGTTATACACATTCTATGTGCATATATATAGTTATTAAAAAATACAGACAGGCTACAGGCATATATGTAATGTATAAACTGACTGCACTGTTGGCAGGAGAAAAAACTGGGTCAAAGAACTTAAATACAGATCACAGTATCTCTGTGAGAAAAATCTTCCCTCCTCCTGTACCACTTCTTCTGTCCTTCCAACAGATATTACAATTACACTGTCTTAATTATTCCTCTGTTAGGAAAGTGTAAATAAATATTTCTACAGTACTGTGTAATTACTTATATGGATTTTATTTATTCCCAAATAAATAGGACGATTCAGTGGTGAGATAGTTATTATAATGACAATTCCACCCACTGCAGTTAGTTACTAAAGAGTTTTGTATTCCCCAGATTCATTTAACTGAAGGGTCCAGCTCATGACAGAGCCTGGGCTTCATCTCATCTGCTTCTGACAGGCCTGTCAGTACAACACCATTTCTGCATTAATATCCTGTAAGGCAAGCTATCAAATCCTCACTTTGAGACGATACTCTTGTCCTTGCTCACCAAAGATTTAAAGTCAGGAAAGACTCACCGGTTATGTAGCACGTGACGCGCCGGTTCTGCTCAGAGATGTCTGCGTCGATGGTGCTCAGTGTGACCACCACCTGCCCCGGCTCCGCGTTCTCAATCACCGACCCCTTGTAGAAATCTGAGGTGAACTGCGGAGCATTATCATTTTCATCTGAGACAGTGACCTCCACCAGGGTTTGGGAAGAGAGCTGGACTTTCCTGCCGTGGTCAGTGGCCACCACATAAAAGCGGTAGATCTCCTGCTCCTCGCAGTCCAGCTCTTTCAGTGTGGTGATCCACCCACTCTCACCATCAATGGTGAAGAGTCCACGGAGGTTGCCAGATTCTGCTTCCAGACTGTAGGTCACCTGCCCATCACTTCCCATGTCCTGGTCGTTAGCTGTCACTTGAATGACTGTGGTTCCGGAAGGCATGTTCTCCATGACAAAAGCTTTGTAGGGATCTGCTTCAAAGACAGGTCTGTTGTCATTGACATCCTGCACTTGGATGTTCACAGAGACCAGAGAGACCAGCTCAGTCTCCTGATGTGAGCAGTGAGCCATAACATCAACCTGGTACCACTTGGTGGTCTCATGATCCATGGGTTTTTTGATTTTCAAAACCCCTGTTTGTTCGTCCAGTGTGAACACCTCATCCTTGTTACTTTCTGTAGTGGTTCCCTTCACCAGGCTGTATATAATGGGATCCTCTGCAAAAGCTTTGACTGACCCTATTTCTGATCCCTCTGGAAGATCCTCAGATGCAGAGAATGTATAAAGGGGCTCAGAAAACCTTGGCAATGTCACCTCCCTGGGGACAATCTGGAGATTCACTGGGACAAGGGAGTTCCAGTGAGGGGGTCTGCCATCTTCAGCTTTCACCTTGAAGTTAAAGGCTCTGTTTTCTAAACCAATAAGGCTCTCCTTGACCTTAACAACCCCAGTGGCAGCATTGATCTCCACAAGGTCTTCTGCCACATCTTCAACGGAGTCAACAGAATAAATGACATCTGCATTTGCACCTTCATCAGCATCGTAAGCCAGTACTTGGATGACAGGGGAACCTTTGCTTACATTGGACTGGATGGACAGTGTGTATTCAGAGGCTTTGAACAGAGGTGGGTTGTCATTCTCATCTGTAAGGATTATTTTTACAGTGCAGAAGGCCACCTTCCCACCCCCATCCTTGGCCATGACTTTAATGGCTATGACTCTTTCTGTTGAATTTTCCCTGTCCAGCTTTTGCAATGTGGAAATACAGCCTTTACTGTCTATGGAGAACTTCTCATGGGCAAGTTTATTTATGATGGTATAGTCTATGGTGCCATATGGGCCACCATCTGGGTCAATAGCCACCAACTCAATCACTTTGGTACCTATCTCAGCATTTTCTGCCAGCTCTGCCTCATACACGTTCTGCCGAAAAGAGGGGCTGTATTTGTTGGCATTTGTGGTGTTGATATACACAGGCACAGTGCTCTTGAAAACTCCATCCGAAGCAGAAACTCTGAGACTGTAGGACGGCTCCAAGTCCTTTTTGCAGCGGTTGAACATGGATATTATTCCAGAAGTGCTGTTGATGGCAAAATGCCTATTGTCATTGCCTGAGAGTATCACGTATTCCAGTCGGGTGGTGTCTCCACTGTCGGGGTCCAGGGCCTGGACTTTGATCACGATGTGCCCACACGTAGCCATTTCACTGACCTTGGCTTCATACTGAAGCTGGCTGAACTCAGGGGGATTGTCATTGATGTCGGTCACATCTACAATTACCAGGGCATCACTACTAAGTGGAGGCATTCCATGATCTGCAGCTCTTACTTTCAGGCGGAACTGTTGATTTGTTTCATAGTCAAGTGCTTGAGCTGTTGCTATTTGCCCTGTGCTGGCATCAATATTAAAGAACTTGGTAGAATCTGAACCATCATCCACGAGCTGATAGGAAACCACTTTGTTTCTGCCAGAATCCTTATCAGAAGCAAGGAGTTGGACAACAGGAGTCTGTGCTGGCAAACTCTCCGAGACAGACGCTGTGTAGACGATTTGAGAAAATACCGGGGGATTGTCATTAATGTCCTCTACCTCCACCTCCACTCTGGCTTCTGAGAAGGATCCCAGTGCTGTGTCTGTGGCTCTAACAGTGAACATGTGTTTTGTCTCTAGTTCGTAGTCCAGCTGGCCTGTGACAGTCAGGACACCAGTTTTGAAGTCAGTGTTGAAGAGTTTCAGGGAGTCTTCTTCCACAATGTTGTAGATGAGGCGCAAGCCTTCAGGGCTGCGAGCCTGTATGTGGAGGATAGACGTGTATGGGGGGATGTTTTCTGGCACCTTCACTCGGTAGTACAAACTTTGGAACAGAGGGTTGGATTTGTTCCTCACACTGATCACAACCTCCTCTTCAGCACGGAGGGGAGGCTCTCCTTTGTCCTTAGCAATGACTCGGAGGTTATATTTATTTAAAGCTTGATAATCAAGAGGCTTCTTAAGGGAGATGTCTCCTAGGTAAGGGTCAATCTGAAAGTATTTGTAGTCCTCTGCAAATGAGTAGGTAACAGCTCCATTATCCCCTATGTCTTTGTCTGTTGCTGACACTTGGAAAACTACATCCCCTGGCTCCGTGCCGTCCTGCACCGAGGTGTAATATGGCACATTCTCAAACTGTGGTGGGTTGTCATTGACATCCTCTACATAAACCTTGACTGTGGCTTGGGACACTCTTGGTGGTTTCCTGTTGTCCTTCACTTCCACAGCCACCTCATGCATATCTTGCATTTCGCGGTCAAATTTCACACCCTTGGTCTGAAGTACTCCAGAGGCCTGGATCATCTTGAATCTTTCCTTTCCATTCAAGAGCGAATAGGAAAGGGGTTCATTTAGCTGATATCCCTTGACCCCAAGGATAGCTAGAATCTTCTCATCTGTGGAGTTCTCCATCACAGTTGCTGTATATACGTCTTGATCAAATTTCAAGCCAGTACCTTGTGCTTGAGTTAAGTTTAGCTTAACCAGAGCAGTACTCTTATATAAGCCATCACCAGCTCTGACCATGAGCTCATGATAGCTCCTCAGGCCAGTAGCGTTAAGAATGGAGATGAGACCTGTGAGAGGATGAATATAGAAAGCGTTATCAAGGTTCCCTTCCACAATGCTGTAGATCACCTCCGAATCTGCATCTTTTGCTTGCACTGACAAAAGCTCCATCCCGGGGTGGGCGGGTAGCAAAACAGAAAGATCATAAGTATCTTTCAAAAAGACTGGAGGTGAATCATTCACATCTTTAACGTGGATTGTGACCTTGGTGGGTTTTGATGCAAATAAGCTGGGACTTCCACTGTCGTGCACATGTACACTGAAGTGGAAAACTGGGGTGAGCTCATAGTCTATATCAGCACGACTGGTCAGCGTCCCTGTGCTGGGATCTACGGTGAAATATTTCAGTGCCTCTGGTTCCAAAATCTCATAGACCAGCAGAGCATTGGAGTCTTGATCAGCATCCGTTGCATAGGTCACGAGGGGAGCATTGCTCTCATCCAGAACCATGCTTTGTGATGGAGCATTCTCCATGATCCAGCCAACGAAGGAAGGCTTAACGAAGATGGGTGCATTGTCATTCTCATCTATGACATAGATAAGTACCACTGTGTCCATAAAAGCTCCAGCCATGTTGGTGCCACGGACCTTCAACTGGTAAAAAGACACCTGCTCAAAATCTAAGCTCTTCTGAGTGGAAATAAGGCCTGACTGATAGTTCATGGAGAACACTCCATCTCCATTTCCATCTTTTATTTCATAGCTGACTGGTGACAAGCTTGTGGCTGAAACCTGGATTAGAGGAGAGCCAATAGCAGTGGATTCACTGATCTCTGTGATGTACTCGGCCTCTGGAAATTTTGGAGGGGTTCGATCAGAGGGTCTAATGCGGACATGGACCGTAGCAGAATCTTTAAGCTGAGGGAACCCCCGATCTTCTGCTTTTACAATAAGAGTAAATCGATCCTGTCTGGATGGATCCAGTTTCTGGGCAACTGTAATAATTCCAGAATATGAGTCGATGCTAAAGAAGCCTTCCCCATTACCTGCAAGAAGAGAAATTACAAAGTGAAGAATGCAGACACCATATTGGTTTTGGTTTTCTGAACCTCTTTTCCATAGATTCTGCTGATTTCAGACCTAGTTAACATCTGTTTCTTTCACTGGGAGAAATTAATTAATTCCTAAATAATTTTAATTATAAGAACAATGAACCCATTGAGATCCATGAGCTAACTTTTGAATAAATCAAAATGTAAATTGGAGATAAATACCCTTCTAATTTAAGCATATTTAGTGGTGGCAGAGCATGTGCTTGAAGCTTTTGCCTCGTGTGCAGAACATGGTAGCACAGATAGTACTAGTTCCTTCAAGCTCTGTCATGCTTGTAATTACCAATGCTTCAGGAGCAATTAAATCCCTCAGTCCTTGATCTAAATTGCAGTGAGAAAGATGGAGCAAAGGATGGCTTGTCTCCTGCAAAGAATTTACCAGCTAAATAGGCAGTGTGGCACAGACATAAATACTTCAGTTTTAACCTTTAGAGTGAATGATAAAATACTTGCCCACTGAACTTGCATGAACCAAAACCACCAGCAGCCAATGCTGACAGGGTCCTCACTGTTCTTTGAAGATGTATTTCTTGGTAGAAATGGTGGAACTGATGATGACTGTTGTGGGAATTGGAGTACTTTTGCCTAACAACTGAATAGGGATCGCTCCCTCAGTTCCCATGGACAAAAGGAGCAGATTTTAGGTTGCCCTAACTCATCCAATCACATTTTTTTTTAAGGCCAGTGACTGAACATTAAGCTTTCTTCTCAAGAAAGGATGCTAATATTCCATAATACGGAAATTACCTGCTCACTCTAGATTTTCTCTGAATAGAAAGAAAATCACATTTTAGAACTGTGCCGCCATTTACTGATCTTTGCAACAGCTACAGAAAGCTGGTCAAGTGGCCACCAGTTAGAGCATGGAAACATAGGTGTGATCAAAGCCTAAACTGTCTTGTTGCAGGGCTCTCACCTGCCTGAAGGGAGTAGTGGATTTCAGCATTAGCTCCTTGGTCCTGATCAAGGGCTCTGACTTGTATAACCTCTGTGCCCACCACTGCTGAGTCCAGTACTTCTGCTTCATAGTGGATGCTGCTGAACTGCGGAGGGTGGAGGTTGCAGCTGTCCACATGGACGATGACTCGGACAAAGTTCCGCTTGATGGGGACCTCCTGGTCTCGCACCTGAATGACAGAGGAAGAGCAGGCACAGTCACACTCAGGGAGAAGGTAGCCTTGCCTGCACCAGCTTCCAAGCAACTCATCAGGACTCCTACACAGGTGAGTGTTTTGCAGTGGTCCTAACCCCTTGGGAGGGACATGAGCCTGTAAGTTTCAGCACCAAAGCTCAGCCTTGAACTTGAAACCAAACATTAACAACTATTCACTGTGTTTTCTTTTATAAGAATCCAGTGGCCCTCCAATGAAATTAGCAGGTGGTCAGAGGAAAGCAGGGTGTTACCTAGATTTAGCCATATAGTAAAGGTTAACAGCCTGCTTTCCTCTTCCTTATTGTTCTAGACAAATCCTCCCTCAAAGACTAAAACCAGTTTTAATTTCTCCAGTGACTCATATTTCCTGGCCAAGCTGGTGGACTCAGCAGGGCTTGGTCAGGACTCACCATCACTGTGAGGGTGTGCTGAGGCATGGGCTGGGAACTGAAGCCTTCTGCTGTTGTGAGGGCTCCACTGTTTGGATCCAACTGGAAAAGTCTTGAGCTTTTGGGGTCCACACTGCCATGGATGGTGTAGATGAGCCCCTTTCCTTTATCCTTGTCTGTTGCACTGACTCGAAGGATTTCTCTCCCTGAGGGGGTATCTTCAGGAATCCTCACATCATAATGGCTCTCCAGGAACTGGGGACGGTGCTGGTTGATGTCAATAACGTGGATAAATGCCTGTGGGGGACACAGCACAGTGAGAGCAGCAAAGACATGGCAGCAGCCTGACATGCAGCCACATAAAATCTAAGCTACCAAACCCTCTGGGGTGTAGCCATTCCCTGAGTCCTGTAACCGTCACAGCTTTCCAACTCTTGGGGCTTTGCCATCCATGGTGACTGGGAGCCCTTTTGTCCTTCTCCCCCAAGGAACTCCCGCTGTGCCTTCCCTTCATGTTTTCCAGTTTGCTTCCTCTCATTTCTTTTTATAACTCCAACCTGGCAAGCCACTCAGACTGAACGTGCCTGCACTTGGCACATGGGGAAACTGTCACAGCCTGCCATGAAGAGCAGCAGTGGCTCAGCCACGGTGCCAGCTCTGCTGGCCAGTGCCTCCACAGCAACCTCCATTAATTACACACCAGAGCAATGACAGAAGGGGGATGTTTGGTAAAAGGAGGGAGGGCTGGCCTTCCTCATGCATGTGGAGAAGCAAAATTTGTGTTCCACATTTTTTAGCCAAATCTTCCTCTCTGCAGTCAGCAGCACACGCCCTGTGAATGGCTGCCTGAATCCTGCCTGCAAAGTCACAGGTTCTTCTGTTTAGTCTCCTACCCTGGCGGTCCTGACCCCCCTACTGATGTGCTCCCTGCATCTTAGGAAGTCCCAACCAAGTGTAATAATTTGCTTCCTGTAGCAAACCTGAGCATGCCACTGGGGTTTTGCATGAGCAGGTTTCTTGACATCTGCTAGCGGCCTTGAGTGCCAAAATAAACGCAGGGATGAGATGCGAGGTGGCAGGGAATGCACACCAGGCAAGGCGAGGCTCTGTTTGTTTATTTGGAGCAATACTTGAAGATAGTCGAGATAAGTGGCCATCCATTAGCATTGTATTTCACAGGAATGACAGTGTTCCTAACTCATCATCTCCCCCGCAGTGAATGTCCCATGATAAGCCTCACTGACAGGTGACTCACATTCTAGGTCTTCCAGTGCAGTGAGGGCTGGAATTCTGGCTGCTTCTCATGTGTGGAGAGAACAGTTGGTGGAAGATCAAGCCCTGAACACCCCTCCTCAGGGCAGGTAAAAATGGGCAAATATCATAATTTTAACTGGGGCTCAGGGACATTGCTGAGAGAAAAGTGCCTCCTTTCACCAGCACTTCCTTCCTTTGTGGCAACTCAAAGCACACAGCATCTCTGCAGTTGCCCCACTCACCTCCTGGGCCTGACCTCACCTCTTGCAAATGCATCTGTGCTGCCTTTACTTTGGCTCACAAGTCCCAGGAACACCCCTTGAGATGGGACTATGGACCCAATCCTGATCTAACTGTGTACACATTTCCCTTATGACTTAACATATTGTCCCAGATGTGTTGTAGTTCAGACTGAGCAGCTGAGAGCAAGTTGAGGTCTGAGTGTGTGAACTGCCACTCCAGCTTGGCTGGTGGTGCAGATGTGTCCTCATGTGCTGGCTGTGGTTGACAGGAAAGACCCAGGCTTTTCCTAGACCAGCTGTGTTTCCAAGAACATAAAAACAATCTCAACTTGGTATTAGGAAAGGCTTGGGTCACTGTTTAATATAAAATCACAGTGTAGGGAGATTCTTGTGCCTGGCACCTCATCCAGAGCTCATCAGACTCAGAAAAAAGATTCCCTTTGGCACGTACTCCCTCTCAGTGGGGTGTTTAACAAAGAAAAAAAACATTACCTGGGTTTTGATCGTATTGGACCCATCAGTGACTTCTACTGTCAGGTTATAGCTTGACTTCTTCCTTGCATCAAGGGGTCTTGCAATGACCATGCTGCCTGTACTCTTTTCAATGTCAAAATCCATGTCATCATCACCACCTGGCATAAGGGAGAGATGAAAAAGGGAAAGAGGAAGGCAATTAAAAGTCAGAGCAAGTTGCAGGTGCTGGCAGACTTTGAAGGGGAAGAGATTCCAGGAGCTGCCTGGAGACCTAAAGGACAAGGATATTCCTTCCAGACATCATACACAAATCCCACAAGGAGCTCATGCCCAGCCACAAATAAGTGAACACCAGGCAATATGCCTTGAAGGGGGTTCTGCAGGCACTCTCTCTCGCTGTACCTCTTTGGCCATGGCTAGACTGAGGACACTGCTATAGGTGAGGTTTCTCCCAAATCTAGAAACTCAATACAACATATGACAGATGGACATAGGAGACAGTGAGGACAAGGAGAAGCTGGACAAAGAGGTTGTCACAGATGGTGACAAAGGAGTAGAAATGTAAGGTGAGCGGAATCAGAAAAAATGAGGAGGAGAGAAGAGGAAAGGATGCACTTATGCAAATGATGTCCTGGCTAGATTGTCAACAGGCACATTTGAGCATTGATTTATTTGCACAAGGTCTCCAGCTATGCAGCATCACTGGCCTAGCATGGATCAGGGACCTGCTGGGCAGAACAGTGCTCTCACTGGCTTCCAGTTCATGGTCACACTGTGGGCATGTCAGTGATGGTCTTCATCACCGTGGTTGGGAGCCTGTGAGCTCCCTCAAGAAGCCCAATACTGGAACAGTTGGGGAGGCAGACGGTGCTTCCAGGGTGAGCAGAGCCTGGTGCCTCCAACCCAGATGGCTGTGCAGTGCTGGGAACTGCAGGCCTGAGCAGCTCAGCACCAGAAGGTTGTCCCTCACCCTACTGCTGTTCAGCCCTGGCATGGCAGCTCCTTTCTCATGCCTCACTTGCTGGCGGCCTGTTAGGCCTCTATTGCATGTGAAACATTGCTACTCAGTTCTGAGATATAGAGAGGCTCAAAGTTTTCTGACATTTATCCCAGGTCTTCTCCCTTCCTGGCTAGTGGATGCTCTGGATTCTGCTTTATTCTCTTACCAGCTGGCAAAATCTTCGCTGGTTGTTAAATTACATATCTTCCCTTGCTGGAAGAATGCAGTGGTCACTAGCCATCTGGACCACTGCTTTCCTGCTGGGAAAGAGACAGGAAGAAGCAGAGACAGAGGAAGAGAGACCCATAGATGCCTTTCCCCGAGAAAAGAGAGAAAAGCTCCCTGTGCACAGTGCCAGATGGAAAGAAGCAGCCCAGGAAAGGAAAGAGATGAAGAAAGACGCTGCTTTGTCAGAGTTTTGCAGACCATCAATCCCAGTGACAGAGTCTTTGTGGAGTGGGAAAGGTGAGATTTTGAATGAGGTGCTGAGGGCTTCTGGATCTCTGCATCACCCACTTGGTTGCCAGGTACTATGATGCTTTTCCTTTCCTAGCAGGCAAAATGAAATCCTGTCCTTTCCCAACAGTACAGAAACCAAGAGAGCCTTGAGTAGCACTTGGTGCACTGGGAACTGACGAAGATGAGGTCAAGCTACACTCCAGCATTTAGCCAGCAAACGATGGGAGAACATTCAGAGGAATACACTGTTAATTCTGCAAACCCAAGTAGACACTACTAATGCCAGATAAATTTTTCACTGATATTGTCTGCTCCCTGTAGCATTGCATCTCTTGTTGCTTAATTGTATTTATACGCCATTATCCCTGGCCTAACCCAGTAACGGGAAAAACTATTTCACTTCAAACCCAGTTAAGGCTTTGTCTGACAAGGGCAGGCCCTGCAGGCAGTACCAGGGAAAGGCTGTGCAAGGCAGATTGGGGCACCACTTCAAAACACCAAATTACGTGAGTGCAATTGGCCCTCATTGGTAGGACCAGTTCTGCTCACACACTGTGTGGTGAGTCCCCTGGGGTGACAGCCCACGTCCCCTCTGCCATTGTGTGTCTTAGAGGAGGCCCTGGAGCTTCACGTTTCATGTCTAAGTCATCCCTGGGATGTGGTAACGTGGAAGGGAGAGACCCACCAGTTAGGGCAGACCAGGTCTTTGAGGAATTCTTCCCTCTCTGCTCCCTGCTCAAGACTCAGCATGGAGGGAGAGATGGGGGTTGTCTGCAACACCCAGACAGACACTGGATCCTCGCAGGCAGTTTCAGCAAAACCAACAGCGTCACTTAATTCCCAGGAGGAGCTGGGACCGGCAGCCCTGCCTCTCATGCGACATCAGAGAACACCTCAAACACTGGCGAGTTCCAGAATGTCATTAAAAATGCATGATAAGTAATTGCACTTGGCATCGGAGCCCTTGGACGGGCAGCTTTGTCCATGGCTGTTTAAGCATTTTAGTGCCTGTGAGAAAGCTTTCCCTGTAGCTCACCTACACCTAAAGCAAACAACGTCATTAGCTCAGGCTAATGTGAGTGCTGAAAGCCAGGGGAGCTGGGGCAAACGCTTCCAGACACTGCTGCCCCGCTGGAATTCCTGTGTCTCACCTGTGATATTAAACCACACTTGGCTGGGGCCCATTTCAATGCTGATCACTCCCACCATATGGTTTACAGGATCTGTTTCCATCACGGCAAAGTTAAAATGGGGTTCATCAAAAGCCAGTGGCTCGGAGGAAGGGCCGGGCCGGGTGACCCAGCTGATGTGAAGTCGCACGTGGGAGGAGAGCGGGGGGCTGCCACCGTCTGTTGCCTTGACCTGCCAGGAAATGCACACACAGTCAGTGAGAAGGCTGGTTTAGCCCGTGGGAAGCTTCTTCTCCCACCCACCAGGAGTTTCAGGTCCGAGTGCACCCAAAATCCCACAAAACAATTCCTGAGCCAGTGGTCTGTGCCCTGGCTGCTTCCAAGGTAGAGCCATGCAAACCAAATTCCTCTCGACCATCAAGTAAATCTGCCAAGCTCTATGCACAGCAGAGACCTGGATGACAAGCCTTGTTGCAAGGACCTGTACTCTGTGGGAGAGCTTTTAACCTTCAAGCCCCATGGCCTGATCAGACTGTCAGAGACATGACGAAACCCAAAGAATGTTTAGGTTTGGGTCCACATCCATATGGGATCATGGATTCATCTCTGAGAGTTGGACTCTAATTGTACAGTGAATTTTAAATTTATTTACCATTTTTAATAGCTTCCTACCTTCTGCATTTCCCATCATTCCCTTCCAGTTTCTCTCCCTGCAACCCATTTGCCTCATTCAAGCTCTCTTCCCACTGCTGCATTTTCTCTCTCTCTTTTGCTCTTTTATATCTTCTGTTTCTGCACCCTTTTCTCTCTTCCCCTCTCCACCCATCTCGTCCCACCATCTCTCTCAGTTTCCCTCCCCTCTCACCGTGAGTATGTTGTATTCAGAGGCAGGAAAAGCTTTCCTGGAGAAGACTGTGCCGGTTGTGGGGTTGATGGTGAATATCCCCTCCTCTTCCTCCTCGATGGTGTAGGTGATCTGGCTGTTCTGGCCCTGGTCACGGTCCGAAGCAATCAGCCTGTAGACTGGCAATGGTGTCTCTGAGGCCTCTCTCTCAGGGAGCTGCACCATGAAGAGCTTGTGGGGGAAACTGGGAGGACTGTCGTTGGCATCCAGGACTTGTATCACGACTCTGCTGGTGGACTTCAGGGCTGGCTCTCCATTGTCAGAAACAGCCACCTGTCAGTAAGCAAAGGGAGTAGGTGACAGAGCTCCCTGATGTGACCTAGGACATGATCCAGCCTTCATTCTGATGGGTAATAACTCAGCTAGGGGTTTTGTGTGGATCTGCATTTGTACCCCAACATTTTCAGAGGCTTTGCTCCTCTCTGCAGGGTGAAACCTGGTGGCTGTAGCTGGCACTGTGCAGGAAGCCACTTGTCCAGGCACAGGCAGATAAGTTTGCAGGGCTCCTGCCTGCAGCTGCTCCAGGCAGTGGATCGGGTTGGTCATTAGGGATTGCAAAGCTGAAAATGTTTGTATTGCCATGGCTTGGCAAGTTATCACCCATCCTCACTCTGCTGTGCCTGTGCACACTCCCAGTATGTTGTATTGCAGAGAGAAATGTATTATCCTCCATCACCCTGACAGACTGAAACACCTCCAGATTCTTCTAATGGGAACACAAATAGAGCAGCTGAGGATGGAGGCCAGTGACCAAAGCTGCACAGCAATGTCTCATACAATGAGATAAATGAGGGTGGATTTCTCTGGCTTGCTTTTTCCCCCATAACTTACTATCCATCCTGCTAGAGGACAGTTCCAGTCCTCTTCCTGCATTCCCACAGCTTCCAGAATAGGACTTTTGCTCCAGTCTTTAGCAAGTAAATAATAAACCCCACAGTACTCCTGCAGCTGTCTCTTAGGGCAACACACACCATTTAATTAAGTTTCCCAGCAGTTGGGAGCTGATGGGATGAGATTCTTTCTCTGTGCTCCAACTTGCAAGGAAAGCTCTTTGAGGACTTAATACACTTGTAGGTAAATAAAGCTAATTACAATCATCATTACCCACCTCTAGGATATGTTCAGCCTTGTATTCTCGATCCAGCTGCCGTGAAGTTGTAGAAATCAAACCTGCCAAGAAAGAAACCCTTTGAGCTCCAAGACTCAGCATGCAAGAAAAGCCAAGGCTGATCAGATCCCTGAGTGCCCAAAATCAGCCTGCCCACCTGCCCCGTTTCAGGTTCCCTCTGTGATCAGAGGAGAAAGACCCCCAGAGGTAAAGCTGTCCCCTTCCTTTGTGCAGGTGTTGCTCTTGCTCTCTGATCACAGAGACCATGGAGGAGGGGGAACACCTACCAAATGCCTGCATCAGTTGAGGGTTGGCAAGGCATTAGGTGAGAAAGGCAGCAAGACCATGAAAACAAAACTTTTCTTATGCCTCTAAGTAAGAAACATTCTGCATGTGCTGGCACAAGTCTGGACTCTTAACAAGTCTCGACTCCTATTTTCCCTGTGCTGAACCTTGCTCTTTTTAATTTACAGTGTTTTGACAAAAGTTTGTCTTCAGCCTTGGGAAATACCCTCTATTCCACTGACAGAACAAATGCATTCAGGCTAAATATAAGGTACACAGTCAATAATAATGTTGGTGTATTATTTAAGCCTTGCTGAGAGACAGGATGAATCCTCTAACAACTGCAATATTTGAGGGATTTCTGAAAAATACACAGTAGTTTAACCACAGGGAATAGGATGGATGTAGGAGGGAGGAACTGTGGCTATAATAAACTAGAGTTGAAACAAAATCATTGTAATTGACTGGTTTTGGCCTGTCAATGACTAAGCTGAATAGATGCAAGTATGGAAAGGATGGAGCTGAGGCTTCTGTTTTCATGTCTTGTTTGATAATCGTCCTTATTGAGTGCTTGACTCTTCACCTTTGGGGAAAAGCAGCTCTAGACCATTTTCACAACTGCTTTACCAACAATGGAAATTGCACACGTAATGTATGACTTTCTGACAGTCACCAAGTCTGACATCTGTGAGTGTTTTTGTCCATTCTCCACATCTCCTGCTCCCAGTGGTCTCTCTTACCGTGGTGTTTATTCCTCACGAAGGGAAGTTCTTCTTCCTCACAGAAATGAAAGGCAGGGTGAATATTTGTGACCACTGCAGGCAGTGACACAGGCTCATGCTACCCTGGGAAATGCTCTGCATGGGAGGCAGTGTGCACGTGCAGTGGTGTGAGTACATGCACTTGTGCGTCCTGAAAGGCTTGTAAATCTGAGCTGCATGAACCCACCTCCACTCTTATTTCTGGCCCAAAGCCAGCAAGTTTTAATCAGTAGTACTGTTTTCAGCTGTAGCATACTTTGGGTTCTGTCTGTTTGAGCATGACAGGCAGGAGAAAATTTCAAATGGCTGCAGGAAACACCAGGCAGCTGAAGGAGGGAGCAGCTGCTTGGAAGAAGACTGCTGTTCACGGTTTCCACTTGTTCTCCAGGATTATTCACATTTGGCACAAGCCACTGTGCTAAACATTTACTTGATGCCTTTACAATCATAAATCAACACTCCTTAATGGATTATAACAAGATGGCTTGAAAAACTCTGTTTGCTTATATGTCATAGGGGTTTTTTTCTTCTCCTAATCATCCTTTCAACACCTTGGCAGGTGAAGGACTCAGAAGTGGTCTAAGAACCCACTGGCTAAGAAGCTTTTGAACCTCTCCCAGGTTTTTGAGAGGCTGTAGGGCTCCATTAGCAGCAGAACTCATGGAAATGGGGGCCTGAAGAAGGAATTGCAGCAGCGGTTCACTGGGATCTCTGATGCTCCTGTCCTCACTGCCAATAGGTTGGCTGGGGTGGGGGAGCAAAGCCTAAAACTCCAGCTACCTCATGGGAGGCTTCACAGTTTTGGCCTAACAAGCCCAGAGAACACACAGATATTGACAACGGAGCCACCTGACACCTGTGTGCACACAGGGAATATTTCTAGTTTATCAGATTGCAAAATCCAGCTGCAGCAGACTAACACCATGTTTGCACTGGATTACCGCATGCCAGCTGATGGAGGGGAATTTAACCACTCTGAAGTGACTATTTGGATTTGCCTGGCCACACCCTGAAATTCTTTCATGAACTAATGGAAAACCCTGAAAGAAAACAGGATCGTAGCTGAGCTTTCTAGAGCTAGAGAAGGAGGACTGTAGCGAAGGCAGATGAACTGGAATTTAATGACTCTCCTGACTGTCTGTACCACTGAAGATGCTCAGATCTCCTGCGGAGTAAGACCTGACTCTGCTCTCTATCACATACCTGTATTGTATCCCAGCTGGGAGTCTCACTAGATGGAATTTTTTGGTTTAGCTTCACATCTCCTGAGCCACAAGTTGGCTTCTCCTCCTGACCCCAGGCAAACTCCCTCTGTCCCTTACCCTACCCAACCACTTTCCCCCTCCGGAGCCAGTTACCACTGTGCCTTGAGATCCCAAAGCTCTTGTGAGTTAATCACTCTAATTCCTGTTTGGAGTCATGGTGCTGTGCAATGCCCAGATGCACAAACTGCCAGCAGTGTTCCCATGGCCACTGAGACAGAGGTTGGACGTGGTCCTTGAGAGAAGCCCGCTGGAATTAACGCTTGCTTTTATTTGTTGCTACTTGGTTATACACCCTGTGAGGCCAGAGGGCTAAAATGGAAGTGGAAGCTGTTATTAAAGGGGAAGAGCCATCAGCTTTTGTGGCCTGGGGAAACAGTTCCTTGGTTCTTTCTGCTGTCCCCTACAAGGACATGGAAGTGCACGTTTAGTTTTAATGAGTGTTTTGCATGAGCATGTGCATGTGTGTGAGTTATCAGCACCCTGCCCTGCTGGAAAACCCCAGCCAGCCTGTCCCATGGGACTTGTGACAGAGTGGGTGTCCCTTACTTGTGTTCTTGCATGAGGCCCTGAAGGTTTCTGCTGAGTCTTACAGAGACTGAACAAAACTGTCAAAGGTCTTAATTGCACTTGGCCAATTAGCCAAGCTCTGCATCCACATAAAGGACCAGAAACAGTCCCTTCTGTTTCCCGTGTATAGGCAGGCACAAACTCTGCTCCAGCTGCCTGTCTACACACAGCAATGGGAAAGGATTGTCTGCAATTCTCCCGCTTGCTGCCTGGAAAGGGGAGAGAGGAAAGCTCGTCATGTTGGAACAGGAGCGGCAAAATTACCAGCGCATTGTTGTCAGGGAACAAAAAATAATAATAACTTCTGCTGGCAAGAGCAGGGCTGGGGTGGAGGTTGCTGGCCCCCTGCCCTTGCTGCAGGGGGGAAAATCTAAGATAGTTAAAATAGCCAGAATCAGGTTTGCAGGCATTAGGGCTTTCAAAAGAGCCTGAGAAGAGGTTGTTCTCCTGAAATCCTCTTTCTCGTCTCACTCCTGCTTCCATTTGACCTTCTTTTCTCCTCCTCCTACCACCTCCCCTCTTGATCTGACCTGCTGTGCAATACTCCATGCTCAGCTGGAGCCTGTGGTACGTTGATTTGGGGTGCAGCAGTGCAACCATCCCTCAGACCTAAAGAGCAGGATGTCCTTCCATGTAGAGAAATACAGGGAACCACAGGCATCCTGGGGAAGCCCATGGACAGTGACAGAGCAGGAGAAACACTAGAAGAACAAGCATTAGATAAGAACTGGAGACAGTCCAAAGTAAAAGGATTCTCCAAATAGCCTTTCAGCAGGATGAATGGCTCCAACCTTACTCTTCCTGCCACAGCCTCTCAGTTCTTCTCTGTCCTGTTTGGACTCAAATCCTCTTCACATCAGGGACTGCAAAACAAGCTGAAAATCTTTCCAGCAAAAGAATACCCCAAACCCTGCTATCTGCCCATCTCTCCATGTACTATCTCTGTCTCCCACAAACACTGCTCCTCAACAGCTGCCAGGCTGGGCTGGAGAGATTCCATTGCCCATGGCAGAAAGCTTTCATCTCAGTGCACAGTTTTGTTCCCTCTTCTCCTTTATTTTCCCTCTTTTTCTCCACCCTCTTTAGGGAACTGAGGGCTGGAAGAGCTTAGAGCTCTGTGGTAGTTTGGGGATGCTGAAGGAGCCAAGAGCTGCTGAGGGACAGTTATCACAGCCATTCCTGTCTCCCTGCAAGGCCTCAGGAGGAGAAGTCAAGGGGCCTCACTGGTCATGTCTCCACTGGCCAACCCTCCCCCGTGCAGAGATACTGGATCACACAGAGAGCAAGTGCTCCAGGAGCAGAATTAGTTTACTTGCAACACTGTGGCACTGTGCCCTGAATAATCATCTAGGGCTATTCTGCAGGGTTACTCTGGCTGAAGACATGCCTGTTGTAGCAGTACATTAGGACCTTAATGCCTATTAGCACATGGGATGAGAACACACCTCCTCCTTCTCTCTGTCTGCCAAGGGGCTCCTGCCAGGAGTGCCCTGTCTAGGAGAGACCCAGATTGACCTCTGGCCCTCTTGTGCTGTCTTATTCAGTGCCAAAGTGATTAATTTGTCCTTTGGTGACAATGTGGGAGAGGAAAAAAGCAGAGTTCTCAATCACTGTCTCCTGCTCATGGCAGGGGTTTGGAACTTAATGGTCCCTTCCAACACAAACCATTCTGTGATTCTATGTAGGAGCCTCCCTTCTGATCTGGGAGCTGGAGGAACTCCTAACACAGTCAGGTTATCCTGTTCCTTGCTCAAATCATGTGACTAAGAACAGAAGACTGCTGTTTCCCCCTGAAACTTCAACGTTTATAATTTAAAAAAGTGACAGAGATTCAGGTTCATTGCAGATAAGCAGCTCTACCTGCTCAAACTCTTTTGCTGTCATAGAATCTGGGATTGATCTTGGAATGAGTATTGGCAATCTGGATCATACATACTCTGGCATTCAAGAACTCAAATGTTTCTGGGTCTTTTTGTGATCATTTCCCCTGGGTAGTGAAAGAAGAGATGCATTTATTGCATTTGAAAACCAAGGAACATGTCCTAACTAAAAATCCATAATAAACATCAGTGGTCAAGTAGCACTGTAGTGCTCAGATACTTGCCATGTGTTCTCTCTTCCATTCAAATGTAACTCATTCGATTTGCACTGCACTGGGACAACCCTTTTTTGAATACAACCCTGCACTGATGTGGATGACCAGGCACTAGAAGACCAGCAGTTCATCTTCAGTGCTGCACTGTTAGGCTGAGACCAAAAATTATAGTTTTATTCTACTTAATGGCACGACTAGCCTGCCCTTGTCTGCAGAATGAAAATACCACTGGGTTTCCTATAAGCTGCCTACAGCCCTGAAGGGGCTGAAATATTCTTTCTGGCAGTAGCAGCAGATTATTTCTCCTTAGATATTGTAAGCAAGGATATAAACTGCTCAGTTGATGTGAATGTTCACAGGTAATTATTTGTTCTTTTGGGTGACATGCAAGTAAAATGATGGATAACTGAATCCTCATCAGGCTTGGAAGTAAGTCCTTAAACAACCTCCAAGCTCAGGGTTTAAAGAAACCTCCAGCAACTGTCCAAGAGATGGGTTTCTTACAGAACTGACAAACCTATCACTCTTCTCATGCAAATCACCTGAGTCTAGAGAGAGATGAAGAAGAGATGACTCATACCTGAGAGGGCTTTTTTTGTCTAAGATGGGAATTAAAGGGTTGGCTTAGAGGTGAGGTATTTCATTAGCAAACATTCGGTTTTTGCCAGTGTCACTCATTTTGCCATCGAACATGACAGCATGACTTTGCAGGGCTGCACTCAAACCACTGTGGAAGCTTTGCCTGCAGTACAGAGAAAGCTGAATTTCCTGCAGGGTGCAGGAGTGTAAGCCAGAGCTCAGCCGATAAGGGGAGCCAGCATGGTGTCCTGATAGCTGTTCCTGGCTCACATCCCACCAAAAAGGCAGTGGTTTTACAAAACAGGGCTTCTGAAGGCACCTCTCCACAGAACCCTGTGTTGTGCAAGCTGTCCTGGGGCTGTGCATGGCTGTTTGGATTATGTGAGAAAGCTGGATGCAGAATAATGCCATGACCCGGCTAAAAAGCTTCTGACACTGGAGATAGCTACAGCTGAGGGTAGCAGTGCTCACAGTTAGCTGACAGCTCCAGGTGTATCTATATGGTGCCATGTAAAGACATCCTATGAGTTTCTTGCAACAAAAGGATCTCAGCATTTCAGAATCACAATTTCTTTCTTCCACACCCCTCCTAGCCAGCTGCAGAGCATTGCCAGAGAGCCACTACACCACTGGTAACACATAACTGAGCGCCACTCTACCCTTTTTCAACACATCCAACTCCTTTCTCATCTGAGAGCAGGCTTCTATCCCGCTGCAGTAGGTGAACTGCTTTTATCATCTGCAGGAGATCAAAGTCGTGCAATTAATCCTCTCCCATACCCAGGCTCTGTGCTTTCCCTTCCCTCTTCTCCCAGGAGCTGATGGTGTGGAAGGCTCGGCACAGCTTTCCTTGCCAGACTGGCCCAATGTCAGCTCTGCTGGGATAGTTTGAGGAAGCTGTTTACACAAAACATCAGCGGGTTTTTGATGGCTCTGAAAGATCTGGTAAATAATCCTGAGATGAAAGATACGGACTAGGAAGATGGCAGGAGAGGCTTACTACACTTACTACATTAATAGTTCCGGAGAATGGGTGGAGCCTTTAAGTGCAGTGGGATTCATTTTTGTTAAACCTGCCTGGGTCTGTCTCAGGAGCAGATAGTCACCTCCAGAAGGGTGTTTCCTGGCTCAGGCTGTGCAACAGGGCAGTTGTTTACAAGGGGGAAGATTAAAAGCAACTGCTTGATTCTGTTTAGGGCTTTGAAAGTAGCACATTTGTGTCATTCTAAGAGCCATCTGGATGCAAATAGCAGCCCTCAGGTGGAGAGTTTCAATCCTCAGACTCCCCACACAGTGTATTTGGAGACTGGGACTTTTGCTGCAGGAGGAAGGTGTGACAAAGGCAGCTGTGTGGGTTGTTTATATTGAATATGTAACATCCTCTGGGCACTTGGAAGCCTCAAAAACAAATGCTGAATTGGGTCAGTCTTACCTGTAATGAGGTTAATGGCAAAAAGTCCTTGAGGATTTCCAGTTAGGATGTGAAAAGTCAGTTTTCCCTCTGAGCTAGAGTCTGGATCGAAGGCATCAAGCTGAAGGACAGATGTGTTTGGTGGGGAATTCTCCATCACAGAGGCATAGAAGACAGGTCTGGACATCTGAGGTGGATTGTCATTGGTATCAGTGACTTCAATATAAATTTCAGTCACGGAAGAGAGAGGAATTGTTCCCAGGTCAAGAGCAAGCACTGTCAGCCAGTAGTGAGATGTTCCTTCTCGGTCAAGTGATCCTATGGTCCGTATGGTGCCTAGGAGAATGACAGAGAGTGCTTCTGAGGGATTTAAGGAACTCAGACCACTCAGTCCCTAATGCCAAAACAGTCTGTGTCTCTAGTCTGCTTCCTGGTCTTTGCTGCAGACACAAACTCTGGCACCAACCTTGTATGGCTGTGAGATTGTGTGGAAGGTGAGGGCTTGCTTGTGCTGAGGGTTAATTTTCGTTACACAAGCGAAAGGGAAGAGTTTGGAATTTTGGGGGAAGACAGATATTGATTTTCCATTATTTTAAGGAGACAAACCCCGCCTGCTCCTACCTACATACAGGGATACACTTAGTATACCCCTGCACAAGCAAGAAAGGCTCGAATGAATGGAACTGTGCAAACAGAGAGAATACAGAAATGTCCTATCGGGTCAAAAAGTCAGGCCAAACACAGTGTGTAATTTAATCCTTTAAACTACACTATTAAAAAACACTATTCAATTAAGATGTCATTACCTGTGTCCTTTTCAATGCGGAAGACGGACATGCCAGTGCCTTCTCGGAGGAAATATTGAACCTCTCCATCCTTCCCCTTGTCAATATCCTTGGCTGTGACCATCATCACTGATGTGCCCTTAGGGCTGTTCTCCTGCACCCAGCCTTTGAAGACAAAGGAGGCAAAGCGTGGTGGGTGCAAGTTCTCGTTGACATCAATGATGTTCACTTCCAGGTGGCAGAGGGAAGAGCGGGAGAAGGGCTTCCCGCCGTCACTGACCTGCACGGTTAGATTGTAAGAGTCCTTCTTCTCATAGTCCAGCTCCTTCTCCAACCGGAGTGCCCCGGTCAGCTTATCCACATGAAACATCATGTCCTCATCATTAACGAGGCTGTACCTCACTTCACCCCCAGAACCAGCATCTGGGTCAAAAGCCTCCAGGAACAGGAGGACGGTTCCCATGGGTAGATCCTCTGGGACCATCACACTGTTGAGGGCTGGGAGGCACTGTGGGGTGTTGTCATTTACATCCTCCAGAGTCACAACCAGGTCTGTAATGGAGAACAGCTGGTAGCCTGTTTTGGGCTGGTCTCTTGCTTCTATTTTCAGCACATAGGAGGGCCACAATTCTCTATCCAGAGCACCTGTAACCATCACTTCTCCAGTGACACTGTTAATGGCAAACTTGTCAGTGGGGGTTAGGAGAGAATATTTTACTCTCCCATTGTCATCTGTATCAGCATCTTCTGCTTTCAGTTGAGCTATTGTTGTCCCTGTTGCTACATGTTCTGGTATTGCCACCCAGTAGGCACCTTGTGGGAATTTAGGAGTGTTATCATTGGTATCCAACACATTCACAGCCAAGAGTTTCCAAGATGATTTTTGTGGTGTACCAAGGTCGTACACAGTAATGTTAAGAATGTAGAAGCTGGTTCGTTCATGATCTAGAGGAGAAAGGACTTGAAGGAGACCCAGTTCCACGTCAATGGTAAAGCAACTGTCATCATTTCCATCTGAGATCACATAGACCAGTTTTCCATTAAAACCAGTGTCAGGATCAATAGCTGAAAGGTCAGCAATAGTTGAGTTGATGGGAACGGTCTCTATGATATCGATAGATCGTGGAAAGCTGTCATCAAACTTAGGAGCATTATGGTTTATAAGGTGCAAGTTCAGAGATGTTTCATCATCCTGCCCATGGCCTTGAGACTGAGACTCGATGGAGTGTATGATAGTTTCTGTCAGTTGTTTCAAGACTCCTGTTTCCTCACACTGCATTTTGACAGGGAGACCTTGGCCGACCACAGTGATGTTTACAGATGTTGGCAAAGCATAGTTCTCTCCATCTGTTGCAGTTATTTTCAAAGAGTAGAAAAGTGGCTGTTCAGAAGGAAGATCTCGCAGAGATATTCTAAGGGATATTACTCCAGAGACGGGATTCAGTTCAAAATGCTGTAACTCGTTGCCAGACTTGATTTCATATTTGATATGCTGCAGCTCATCACTGTCGATTGCAGACACCGTGGCCACAGGGTTCCCAACAGGAAAGTCCCGTGGGATGGTGCCACTGCAGCCTGCCTTCTCAAACACAGGAGCATTGTCATTGACATTGCTCAGCATGAGGGACACATACACTTCTGTTTCATGGCGGAAGGGTGAGCCCCAATCTGATGCCCACACCCGCAGGTGATACCACCTCTGCATCAATTCATAGTCCATCGACTTGGAGGTGGAAATGATGCCAGAATAGGGGTCAATGACAAAGGGAACTGATTTCTGGTTGGCTATGCTGTAGGTGACAAAGCCATTGTCTCCTTCATCTTCATCTGTAGCCCTTACTGTTAAGACACTGGTACCAGGAGGAACATTTTCATCAAAGGCCCCGCGGTACGAAGACTGAGTAAAACTTGGAGCGTGATTGTTGCAGTCAGTGATGTCAATGACAACAGTCGTGGATGTGTGACTGTTAATGGCTGTAACTTCAAGTTCAAAATGAGACTGCTCATGGAAGTCCATTGCTCTGACTGTAGTTATCAGTCCGGTGTGAGGATTGATTTTAAAGCTTGTGCTGTCAGAAGTGGGTCTCAAAATATATTTAAGATTTGGGAAGACTGGTGTGACCTTCACCATAACAACTTGGCTTCCAGCTGGGGAAAATTCACTGAGCTGGACCCGGTACACTTCTTTCTCAAACCTGGCAGAAACATACTTGGAGGGAGGTATGTGGACCTCTCTAACAGGAGAGAACAGCGGTGGCTTGCCCTTGTCCTTGGCTTGCAGACTGAGGTTGAAACCAAACGGGTAAAGTAGCCAGTTGATCTCTTTGTTTGACACAATGATGAACTCAGTGCTCCCAACGTAGGATTTGATGGTTTTGAAATGTCTTCCTGGATCTCCATCCACAAGGTCAACTGAATCAATCCCTGCTTCTGAGTCACCACTTTCTACAGACAGAGTTGCATAGACAAAGTCGTCATCTGAGTCAGGCGATGTCACCTTCACTGAAGAGATAGAGGGCGGTTTCCTGGTAGATGGCTCCACCTGGATCGTGAGACTGGCCAAGTTCCCAAAGCCATTCCCCTCCATGATCTTTCTCATTCTGTCCACAGCCAAAACCTGCAGGTGGTGCCTGCCTCGATGGGTGCTGTTCAGCCTACCTGTGATCATAACTGCCCCTGTGGTGGGGTGGACGGTGAATAGGTTGGACTTGGTATTTAGGGAGTAGTAGAACTCAGCATTCTGGCCAGCATCAGCATCAGTGGCACTGAGTGTGCTGACCACTGTTTTTAGAGGAGTGTCTTCTCTGACGGACACTTTGTAGGAGGGGGGTGAAAAGAGAGGTTTCAAGTCATTTCTGTCCAGAATGTGGATCAAGACTTTGGCCCAAGCTTCATAGGCAAAGGTGCTCTCTGTGGCCTTGATTATTAGCATGTAACTGTCTTTGACCTCACGGTTTAAAAGTGCTGTGTTGCTGCTCCTGGTTCTTATTCTCAAGAAGCAGAAATCCCCGATCACGTGCTCCTCTGTTTTAAACAGACCAGTGTTGTCTCCAGAGGCTATTCTGTACCTGATGTCCCACTCAGGGTCTCTCTTGTAAATACCCATTTTGACGTAGCTCTCCACGTAGGTCTTGGGGGCTGAGTTCTCATAGATGGTGGCATTGTAGAAGAAGTGGGTGAAGTGCAGAGGGGAAGTGCTGCCCTTCTCACAGCTCACCCTGTGGACCACACAGTGCATCAGGAAAACAGCAAAACTCAGGAAGTGCCTCCTGATAGTGACTTCCATGGTGTGGTGCCTCTTTGAGTCCTGTAGGTGCCAAAGGAAGAACATTGGTTATTTTCATTAAGATCAGTATGTTAGAGAAAAAGCCCCCATGGGCTCAGCCTCACCTCCCTGCTCTCTCTACCTCAGCCTTTGTTGATGTGGTTGTTATCTCAGCTCTTCCTCCCCTCTGTCCCAGTGAGAGACCTGTCCTCCCACATCCCCATGCTGGCTCAGATCTGTTCACTTTCTCTGCTTCAGTTTCTGTCCTTGTAGAGGGCAAAATGTAAAAAGTCATGTAAGATTCTCTGATCAGGCTGATTTCCTATTCTGGGAACAATCTCACCCTCCCTTCATTCTGCCTTCTCTCTACTCAAATAGCATATTTGAACTCTCCACCTCCAGTCCAAACTCGCTCTTCTTTTGTTACTCCATCCTCCCTTCTCCATCTAAACTTCTCTCTCCACACAAGTTCTTGCAAAGTCTTTTCAAGAGTCAATATACAAACTGATTTTCTCTCCCTGTGCTATGGACTCTGTTGTCCTTCCCCAACAGTGATGCCCTGCTCTGTTGTACGAGTTCCTTCTGAATGGGCAGCTCCACAACGTGGCCTTTTCAACAGCTTTAGCTCAGGTTCTAGTCATGTCTCAGTTACCACAAAGCTCTTCTAATTCACAGGTCTGACCCTGTTGCCTCCTCTGTGTGCAGGTTTCCAGCAAGACACTTTGACCATGTCACCCTCAGCCACTGAGTAATCTCCCTGGTTCCTCCCTTCTCTTGGCAAAGCCCCAGGGTCAGGATTCCTGTGGAGGATCTGCCATCCATGACCACCCGCCATCAACTTCCTTCTCTAACAACTCCCGAGCATCTGCGGCTCCATGATTTATCTCTGTGAGCAAGGTGTATCAAAGAAGGAACAGGGGAGCACACATGTGATTAACAGGGATGTAACTCCATTAGTGAGCTTTGCGGAGCTTGTTAAAGGATCAAGGCCTGTTCTTTTCAAAAGCTAAGTGCGTGCTGCTGTGTGTGCACTCAGGGGTTGAAACCAGGGATAAGCTAAATATAGGTGCATATATTTCCCCTAGATATCCCTAGGAGATCTTTATCTAGAACTGTTTCTTCCTGTTTTAAATTTAAATTATATATCAAGTACCTGCCAGTCATTTGGCACATTCCTAATTTAAACAGGGAAGACTTGTTTTTCCAGACACTTTTTCAAGACTCATCTCTTTAAGAGCCAGAACTAGTTCAATTTATAAGTCAAGTTGAATGTTAGGAACAAATTGTCAGAGTCCAACTAACAATGTGTGTCATATTCTCTTACCAAGATATCTAATTACCGATAAATACCAAGCTGTAAATGTCATACTTCCTCCAAATCCTTTTCTCCTTCATACACTGATGCCAACCATCCAGAATTCTCCCTGCTGTGGTCACTCCTTTTTGAAACAAATGGTCTGAAGCTGAAGTGAAACTACCAGTATTTGTAGAAAAATCAACACAATTCGGTTTTCACAAAATTCAGGCTCATTTTCTTTTATGACATCATTTCACACTTCTAGGAAATACAACATAATCCCAAATGCACAGCAAATGAAAGAAAATCTTGGAGGGCAGGGATAGGTGACCCAGAAAGGCATGTGGTTCCTTCTGAGAAGCTGAAAACCATGTTCTTAAAAGCTCTGCTTGTTGCTTGTTACTTAACAGCGCTTCAGAGTTCTACAGCATGTAGGAACTTGCCTAGAGCTGCTCCCTTCCAACATTTTCAACTGCTGAACTTGGGAAGAAGATGTAGGAATGCTGCGTGCGCGCGTGTCTGTGAGGGCTGTGGAGCAGGATAAGTCACAGGCAATTCAGTGTGGAATAAGAACAGCAGAATAAAACAGCAACAAAAAACAGTGATATTCCATGAACAACAGACTTAATGAACCTGATTGCTTTGTATCTGGGCTAATTGACTTTTTAATTGAATTGTACTGAAACGGCAATGTGAACTCATCTCTTGTAAGACATCAGAGAACCCACAAAGCAGAGACGTTATGAACTCCACAACCACAATAAAAGCTGGAGCTAGAGCACATGCCTTCTTGGGCACCAGCAATTCAATATGGGAGGATAACCTTGAGCAAGGAGTGGGTTTTCTGGCGTTTAACAAGATGCAAACTTTCTTCTGAATCTCTCCTGGAATGTACTTAAACTCACTCTCGCCTGTGTATTTCCTAAGATCTAAGAAGGGCTGCACTTACATTGCTGTTTTTCCCTCTGTGGGGGTATTAGCAGGGTTTTACTCCTCTGTCCAGGTAATTATTTTGCAAAACCTGTTGTGACCTCATATTTCTGAGAGCTTTGCTCTCAATTACAAGCTGGGCTGAAAGCAATCAATGGCTTCAGCAGTTATTATGAGGGATAGAGAGTGACTACGCATCTGGGGCATGAGGCAGAAGCCTCATTTCCTCTGGAAATGATCTGAAACTTTGAAAGGCACGGATAAAACTTAGGGAGAATTGTTTAGGAGGCATCACCATCAGCTTTGGAAGGCTAAGAGTTTCTCTTTGTGTCAGGACCATGCTCAAAGCCTGAACAATAGCACAGAGAGTCTGTCATGTCCCCTGACAGCACCTGCATGTGCTCTGAGATGTGGTATTTCACCACCTTTCATATTCCACGTGCATCTGGTTGGACAATTTCTATACCAGTCAATATTGCTGGGAAATCCTACCACTGTTTGAGCAGTTCCACACAAGCCCATGTTTGTTGCCTCTTATTTTATCCTTTGACAAAAGAATGAGATGAAGAGGGTTGCAGTCACCAGTGTCCTTCAAGAGCTGACCTACTCCAGGTGAGTGTCCTGGGGCTTCCTGGACAGCTCACAACCTCCCACCCTGGGCCTGGAAACCATCACCTACTACTTCTAACCTGTAGTAGGCTACTCGGGGAAGCAACAGTGCACTGGAGGCCTTGTTTCAAAGGCCGTGGAGAAGCTCAACAGAAAAACGGGGGACAGTGCTCTGAACGGTGAACAGAGGGGAAATCTGGTTAACTGCTGCTTTGGCTCAGCTCCAGGAAAGCCCTGTTGGGACTGACCCTGGAAGGTGACAGTAACGGACGAGTAGAAATGAGGTGGGTTTCTATGACTTTTGCTCTGTGGGTGGGAAAGCTGTATATAGTGTCAAAACAGCAAAAACATCAATTTAAGAGCCCTTAAAACCCCAGTTGCAGGTGGCTACCAAGGAGGGGCACCGCTGCCAAGCTCAAGGGTCCTTGCAATGGAGTTCAAGGATCTCCACGCTGAAACCGGGTGAAGTCACCTGCCTGCAACAGATTTTTTTGTATAGACTTAAGAGAACCATTTCTCCTGTTTTTCTGAGCTGTGCTACCCCCGACCCTGTGCTGACAATAATTAGTGCACGATCCATGGCACCCATGGCAAAGGGTCATACCCACTTCAGGGTTGCCAAATCAGCAGCAAGCCTATAACACTTGAACACTCTCACCAGCCTCTGGTCTCTCATCTGATGGCATCAGTTATTTCTGCTCCTGAGAGCTCTCCACTTCTCTCTTTCATGGCTCCCCTGGGCACAGATGCCCTCCTGGAGCTGGCTGCACATGGGCAGGCAGATGTGTTGGAGAAAGATCATCGGTGGGATGGAGTGCGGAAGGTAAGGCACACTCCCGACTGAGGGAAATACCAGAGCATCATTATGTGGTGATTCAACCTCCTTTCCTAATCACCAGGCGAGGATCAGAGAGCCTGGAGGGGCTTCGCCCTCAGCTCTGTAGATGCAAACTCCCCACAAAGCGAGTAAACAGTCGGTGTATCTCTAATCAGAGCATAAGCGCGCGTCTAAATTTAACATCCAAATTGTGATCCTCCGTCAAAGACATGCCCAAATCTGTTGGTTTGAAATGAAGGAACAAACACTGTGCTGAGATCCAAAGTGTGTGCGTGGGGAGGCTGTGGAGAGAGGTGATTTGGGGGGACTGGTGCAGGACAAGGCTATTCTGGCCAGCTGGGGCATGGCCCGGGGGGGGTCCTCTGGGGGGTCCTGTAGGGGTCTCCTGCAACGTGTGGGCTGCTGTGTTTGTTGGCCATATTGCAGAAAAGTGCTGCAGCCTGCCAGGAAACAGGTGTGGCCCCAGCCCCACCTTTTGATTCCCTTCAAGAGGAGCATTTAAAAACAATAAAAACCCCAAACACAAAACAAAGCGAGTACTGAGTGCACTGTGAGCAGCATTCTCCTCACAAGCTGTGGTGGGGGCTTGGCCCAAAGTTTTGAGATCAGAAGATTAAAGAAAAATCATTATTTTCATTGAAAAATAAGAACAACTGTTCCCTTATTACTCTTTTACCAGCATGTATCCCAGGTTCTCTTTCTTCCTTTCTCCGTTGCTTTCTTCCCCCACCTCCCTCCATTTTCTCTCCCTCTTTTTCTCACTACAAGAAACAGTCTCAACCATCCCCAAACACATCAACCTCTTTGTCAGAGCCTACAAGACCCTGCAGCTCAGGGAAAGGAGATGAGATTGGTTGTTCAAGTAATCTGTGATAGGGCAGTTTAATGGTGGGTCTGAATTTCAGTGGTCACTGGGGAATAGAGACAGAGAGCAAAGGGAGTAAATCCTATAAGATGGTGGGTACAAGGCTTTGGGAAAGTGAATAAGAGACGAGACACTATCTTCTCCTGGTCTGGGTGGTAGCTGAGCAGAAGGGGTTCAGCTACAGTTGGGGCAATACCCTTGCCTGCCAAATTGGATCAACCAGAAAGCCACCCCTGGGTTTTCAAGTGTTAGAAACTCACAGAGTTTAATGGATGCTTTGTTGAGCCATGTCTGTGAGATATTTTGCTTCCCAGTACTGAAATAACACGTGTACACCCTGCATGGGGGCTGGGCTACTGGGTTAATGTTTGCCCTCTCCTCTGCCACAGCGATGCTGGTGGGAATTGGATCCTTTTCCATTTGGTGAGTTTCCTGATGGCCACTCACAGTCAGCCCTGGCAGGTTTGAATTCCCTGTGGAGATGGGAATTTTCTGAACTGCTT